CACGCTCTCAAAGATGTCATTGTTTTCTCAGCTAAAGGGAACGTCCCTCTTGCGGACAAATTGTCAGGTGGTGACTATGACGGCGACAAGGCATGGGTCTGCTGGGAGCCAGCAATTGTGTCAAACTTTGAAAATGCAGAGGTATCGCCAAGCCCCGACTTATCAAGCTACTTGAGGAAAGACAAAACAACTTTTGCGGATCTTGTTGAAGAGCAGGGCGAAAAGGCTATATCGGAAATGATCAACCGCAGCATTGCCTTCAGCATGAAGCCTAGCTACTTGGGTATTGCAACCGCGTACAAGGAGAGGCTTTGCTACCACCTCAACAGCGTGAACAACACTTACGCCCTCTGGTTGAGCGCCCTCCTTGGCAACCTTGTTGACCAGGCCAAACAGGGCTTTGACTTTACGACGGAAGATTGGCATAGGTTCTGCCGAGAGCGGCTCGACAGTCACCGATTTCACGGGCTGCCAGAGCCCGCTTACAAGTCTGGAAGCTGGTCACATTCTGGGACACCAGTCCACATAATTGATATTTTAAGGTTCGTGGCGGCGAAGCCAGCCATTGAAAAGGAGCTGGCAAAGTTCCACAAGTCAATGTCCACGAGGTCGAACGAATCTGGGTATGAGCTGCGATCTCTTCGATCGACCAAAGCTAGCGAAGACGAGCTTATAGCGGAACTATGGGATCCTGACCTTACCAAACTTCACGAAGAATTCGGAAAACTTGCAACGAAGAACCCGGCGTTGAAAACGATTTTGCGAAATCTCAAGACCGACTTAGAAGGTGCTAAAAAGAGTTGGAGCGAAAAGGTTGGCTCGAGCAAAGACAAGGACGACACGAATCGCGCCATACTCGAAGTATATGAAGAATGGCGCTCGATTCAACCACGTCTAGATGGTGTGCTTGAGCCACTGACCGAGGCTTTACTGAGGCAGACGTGTGCGAGCGAGGACCACACAACCTGGGCTTTACTGCGTGGGAGCACAACATTCAAGATGTTTTACAACCGCCAAACAAAGTTTGCTTGGCAGATGGCGGGCATTCAACTGCAGTTCATCAAGGCAATGACTACAGCAGGGCTTGACAGAGTCCTTGTCCCTGTGGTCCCCAGCCTGTATGCGGCCCTTAAGCCGGACAGCAAGTTCATCACCCAGGCCACCTCCAAACTGAGGGATGAGGGGTCCGAGTATCCTGGTCTCGACTCTGACGGCGAGAGTGACTGGGACGGGCCAGAGGGCGAGGAATGACGACCTCCCGTTGCATCTATGATGTCTTTTCACAAGAACAATCCACGGTCCGACGACCTGGATGCTCAACTTTCTGACTCTAGTTCTGCTTCTACCCACAGCCTGACTTTGGATCAGAAAGACTTGGAGCTTGGAACACAAAAAGAAAACGGAGCTATGATATGGAACGAAAGAAATGCGATTTGGAATTTGCTTGGAAGCGATTCTGCGGATACCCTTTGTACTTATGTTGGAGCTTTTCGTACACTACCTTACCGCGTCGCGTCTGAGAGCACGCGAGGACATGTACGGCCGTTTTTCTTTCCTAATCGTGGCGAGTCCCGACCTTTGTGTCCTGATGCCTTTCTCGTGACCAACGCCCCGTTGACCCCAACGTGGAGCGCATTCTGAAAGGATGCTTGAAGAGGCCATACATGATACACAGAGCAACTTTAATGAATGGACCCTAGACATCAGTCGTAAGCCTTTTTGCCAATATTTCTATTGCCCTTTATATTTCTGCCACACACCGAAGTTTTCTCCTCCTGAAAACTTTGCCCAGAACACAGAATCGAATCCCTCTAAGCATCTCCTTCTTCACCAAGGCTTTCAGCTTTTACACTCGCAATGTCATTGTCACTCCCGTTTAAACGAGAGGGCCAGGACCCGGAGATCAGGCCCCTGAGGTCAGTCACTGCCTCGTCTGATAATCATACTTTACTAACTGGTACATCAAGTAAGAGAAGCATTAACATGGCATCGCCGACGCGTTCTAATCAACCACCCGCGCCACCGGCATTGGTTCGCGCAAATATCGCCCCTGATGCGCCCTCTCCCTCCGGCAGGAGAAGTAGTAAATTGCATCAATTGGCAGCCCGCCCCACGCGCAGCTCAGAAGCATCGTACTCTGTGCGCGCGGACGATATCATCTGCAAAGATCCCTCGCAGTGTCCCTTCGGTCCCGGGGCGGGTCTCCATTCTGTCTTCAGGCATGATCAACCCCACGGCAAGAAGAAGGTCAAGTGTGCAGACAAGACTTTCGAGCTGTTGCAGGATATGGAGCGAGCTTCGGCTGAGCGGCAGGGCGAGGCCGAGGGTCAGACGCGGCCCGGCTCTACTTCTAAGCGGCGTGAGCCGGTCGGAGTTTGGATGGATGCGGATACAGGACTGAAGATGGAGCCTCCCAAGGAAGCAGTGAGGACCTGCGAATCGTACTGTAGGACCAAAACTGAGGAGGGAGAGACGGGCTCCCCACTTTTTTTTGGTCCTTATCATCGGTCCGTCCTTGAGACCATGATACAGGATATTCCCGTTGCGCCAGGACAGGCCCAGAGGGGCACCCCTGGGACTCGGGTGAGCCATAGTCCGCCTCCTCCTCCTCCTCCTCCTCCTCAGCAGGAGAATCAAAGTCTGGGACCTTTCTTCGCGCCCGGCGGCCAGGCTCTCCCGCGCAACCCGGTTACCGAGCAGACCGAAGCCGAGAAGCGTGAGGTAACGACGGCGGTGATGTTCCACATGGCAAATTACCATCGCCAGAAGGAATCTAATTCGAAACAGCCAGCCGTAGATATGCAGCGCGAGGGAGCTGCGTTCGCGTTGAACAGTCAAGAGCATTTCCGACAGGCAGCGGAGACTGCTCGTCAGCGACTACAGCAGCAGAAGCTCCTCGCGAAGAAGGCGCAAGAAGAAGAGGAGTTGAAGAAGGAGGCGCTGAGACGGAAAGAGCTGCAGCGACAAGAGTTCGAGCGGCAGCAACAGCAGCAGCAGCAGCAGCAGAGAGAGTACCAGCTTAAGCTGGAGCACAAGGAAGCGCGAGCGCGCAGACGGGGTCGAATGGAAGAGCGCATCACCAGGCACCTAGAGCGAGAGGTCCAAATGAAGCAGCAGCAACAGTACGAGCTTGAGCAGAAGCAGAGGCAGGAAGAACTGCAGCGGCAGGACGACTTTGCCAAGCAGAGACAGCTGGAGAAGCATCGGCTCGAGATGAAGCAGCGTCAGGAGTTCCAGCTCAAGCAGAAGCAGCAGCAAGAGCAAGAAGAGCACAAGCTCCAGGTGAAGCAACAGACGCAAGATTACGTCGAGTTGCTGTTGAAGAAGCAGCAAGAATGCAACCTCAAGATGGAGAAGCGGCAAGAAGAGGAGAGGCAGAAGCTGCAGCAGAAGCAGGCAGAGCTTCAGCGTCAGGAAGAGCAAGCCAAGCAGAGGCAGAGAGAAGAGTACCAGCTCAAGATGAAGCAGCGAGAGGAGCATCAGCTCCAACAAAAGCAGCAGCAGCAGCAGCAGCAGCAGCAGCAAGACCTCGAGCGGAGGAAGAAAGCATCACAAGAGCTTAAGCTCAAGCAGCAGCAGCGCCACGAAGCTCTGCTCAAGAGCAAGCAAGAGCTCGAAGCGTTGCAGAGTGGCGTCAGACAGCGCGAGGCCGAGCTCATGCAGAAGCAGCGACAAGAGTACGAGTTCAAGGAGAGACAGAAGCGAGAGGAGCAGAAGCAGGTACAGCTGAAGCGGCAGGCAGAGTACGAAGCCAGGAAGCAGCAGATTGAGGCTTCCGACGTCTCGTCTAAGCCTGTGTACAACCCTGAGCAGGGGTATGCCGATATGATTGAGATGATCAAGAACTGGCAGCTTTCGGCGACGAAGGGGATCCATTCCATCTCGGAGGAGTTGGGTCGGATCTCTGCTACCGCGGCCAAGGCGGAGGAGCAGATCGAGCGGGACGCTGTCTCTATCAAGGTTCGACTCGAGCCCGAGACTGTGGCCAAGGCGGCCGAGGTGTCAAAAGCGTCGAAGGCTTCAGAAGCTGAGGTCGAAGCCAATCGCGAGATTCCTCCATTCTCGCTGGGTCCTCCTCTTTCCCCCGTGATTGACCCCGTGAGTACACTCTATTCCCGTTCGCCATGTCAGTATTCCCTCGCTAACACCAAATCTTTACAGCGCAACTGGTCCAATGCCGGCGCCGACCCCAGTCAAGGGATGGTGCACAGGCTCGTCAAGCAGGAGGATGATGGCCAAACCTTTGACTGTGTCAGCTACGAGGATGCCCAAGATCCTGCGGAAGAGTTCATCATCACGGAGCCTATGAGCTGCTGCGAGAATGGCAAGAACTGCAAGAATTGCGACTGCCAGAAGCCCCCGCAGGCTGGCATTGCTAGAGCGTTACCCTTGGAGTTTTTCGATGATGATTTCCTCCTTATTTGAGGGTTTTGTATTGTTGAGGGACGGACAAAGATGCGGCGTCTTGGCGTTTACATATTTCCTGCCCCGGCCGATGAGAAATGGAAATGCAGTCTTCAGGGCACATATACGGGGCCCCAGTTTTGAGATTGTCATTCCATAGTTTCCTATCCCGTCAATCTACCGGTTGAAGTAATTGTTACTGCTGTGACATGAGTTGATATGTGAGTGAGTTGAGACTACTACCATTGTCATTCTGCCGACCGGTGCCGAATGCTACGTACTTGGACACAGGGATTTGGCGGGCTGACACTGGGGATATGGAAATTTTTGTTTTGCCATGGATAGTGTTATTGTATTGTTTTTCGGGGGTTTATCAGTTTTCTACGTGTTTTTGCTATCATGAATAGTGATGTTGATGTTGATTGATGATGATGCGCTCTGTATCATGGACTCCTCAGAGTCATGGGCCATGGCATGGCATTTGAGCTGTTTAAAGAAACGCCCCTGAATCTCAAGAAACCTAACGCCGTGCCCTGAAGTCGGGAAGATGAGCAAATGTTCAATCGCGCTGCATGTTTGCAGGCAACCCAGACTCATTAGGCCTCCTTGGCCGGGTCCTGGAAGAAGATGACCTGAACCGTAACATCATCCCTGACGTTCCTAGCCAACGGCGGGTAGGCGAGCGTGACGCCGGTGAAGAGGGACCGACGCGTACCGCCCAGCGCGTTCTTGATCAGATGCACAGCCGCGTTGTCGAGGTCTTCGACGACAAAGTGCTCGGGCTTGGCGTACCAGTTCGCCCAGCCCCCGGACATGTCGAACTCGCTCTTGACGCCCGGGGTCACGGCGAGCTTGTCTTGCGGCGTCTTCTCGCCGGCCTTCTTGGCCGTGATCCAGCGCGATACGCATTCCACCGCGTGTTCGGACGAAATATGGTCCCATAGGCCGTCGGAGGCAAGGATGACAAAATCAGGGCCCTTGATTTCGGTTACAGTGGTCACGACGGGGGCGGCGGTCATGTACGGCGGCGTGAGGTACTTGGGCCGCACACCGGTGCCGAAAAAGTCGTTCTGGGCTTCCTTGATGGCGTCCGCGGTCCACTTCCAGCGGTGGTCGCCAAATGCGCGGGTGATGGCGATGCCGAAGAGCCGGCCGCTCTTGGTGTCGATCATATCCGCCTCCTCGCCCGGGTGCTCCTTGGCGATGCGGTCAAACTCATCCTTGTTGTGGCCCGTCTGGTCCTTGGAGAGGGCGCGCGCCGAGTACGAGGTCGCGCCGGGGGCGATGGAGCCCATGACGGCGCGAGAGTCACCGGTACAGGCGACGCGAAGGGTCGAGGTGGCTGGGTCGAAAATGGAGAGGAGGGCGCAGGAGCCTGCGATGGCGGGGGCGATGGCGGCGATGACCTTGGAGTCGGCGGGCTCGACTGCGCCGGATTTCAGGCCGGCTATGGCCTTTTGGGCATTGGATGTGATGAGGTCGTCGAGGTTGGTGAAAGCCTTGACGATGGCTGTTTCAACTGCTGCGTCTTCGGTGCCACGGCTGAGTTGGGCGATAGAGGAGGACACGGAAGGGATGAGGGCGCTCTTGAGCAGTAACGAGGTTGCCCATCCGCTACTTCAGTTAGTACCAGCAGCATTTGAGAGGGGGGGATGACATCGAGACTCACGCATGACCATCGTAGACGCCGTTGAACAATGTCTCTGATTTCCCAACACCCGGGCCAAGGGAGAATGTCATGACGTCCTCGACAGGGTGGTTGCTCGCGACTCTCGCGGCGTGGACGTGGGTGTGCTTGCCCTCAGCAGTGAAAGATCCCACAAAGACATCCTCACGGAGCTTCGCATCCGCAGTCTCGAAGCTGCCCCCATCAACCGGTGTCTTGGCCAGGGCATCCAAGTCAACGGGTCCGGATCCCAGGCTGGGAAGAGTGCCAGGCTTCAGGCTCGAAGGGATGCTGGTGGCCTTGCCATTTCCGCGATCTCGCACCACATCGGCGATGAACCAGCCGGCGGCGACGCTAGCAGCTCCGAGTGCGTACTTTGGTAAGTTGGAGGAGGAGCTTGGTGACGGGCCGGTGCTACTCGAGTTTGGACGCGTCCAACGCGGAGCCGAAGAGCGGATGGTACGCGCGGGGGCGTGGAACCGTAGGGAGGCCCCGGCATTGGGGCGGTATGCACGCTGCAGCATCATGGACCTTTTGAATGCTTGGTTGGTGTGGGTGGTTTAGCTTGGCGATCCCTCAGTCATCTGGGTGCGGTTGCGGCTCTCCTTTTGTAGGGGGATGGAAGAATGATGATGGTGATGATGAATCAGGGAAACAGGAGCCGCTCTGGTTGTTTTGAGACGAGCTTTTGAGTGATGAAGTGAACAAGAGTGCGAGAGTGAGAGTGAAAGTGAAAGTGAATGTGAATGTGAGAGTGAGAATGAGATTGAGAGATGAGTGAGACTTTGATGAGGTGAGACGGAGTAAGCTGCTGTGAATCGCCGTTGCTGTGGCAGGTGGTCGCGTGCGTACTTTCTTCCATCCCCTGGCTCTTTCCCATTCTCGTTTCGCCGCATTTTCCCTCTGCGGCACGGACCACACGGCACCAACAGCAGCAAACGAGCAAATTGCACCTTGGACTCAGCCTCACTGCCTCATTGAACAAAACCAGGAACTCGGGAGGGGGAGAACGGGGTGATGGGTCGAAGGATTCATACATCTTACACAGCTTCTTATTACCGTTTAGTCTGGCCATCTGTGTGACTCACAAACGGAGTGAACCCGATCCATGGTTGGTTGGTTGGTGTGATGTACCTTACCCTGAGAAGTATCACGAGAGCAACCTCCCAGGATGCTGACAGGTAGCCAACCGTCTCATAATTTTACTCAACAGGATCAGTTCTTTGAGCCTCCGAAATGATTTTGAGACTCGTTATCATGCAGCTCCCTTCTTCTGTTGGTTCGGGGTACGATTTCTCAAAGTGGTCCCTCGATGTGTCTTGTCCTCCTCTAATACCGACGCACATAACTTTCCCCCATTCCCAGAACGTCAGCAACCATGTTTCATGCGATGGCGATACCCAGAAACTCGCATGTGTTCGGATCTCCATTCACCGGCCTGAGAATGGCTAGCGAGTTCAAGCTGTGTATGATCCAATTTTCATCTGTTTAACTCGGGGACTTAACTCCAATATAGACTCGGCGGGTCCGCGCAGTCACGCAAGTCCATAGAATGAATTTAGTCGAGCAACAAAATTCAGCGCAATTCATCCTATCATCGACTTTTGTAGGGTGTGTGGAGTCTCAGGGTGGCTTCCAAGGAGCTCGACGATATCAGATCTGATACCAGCTTCCCCGGCCCAGATCATCAGGTCTCAGATGGAGTCCAACGTGCAACCGATATAGAAAGCCTCTTGACGCTGCTCTCTACTGGCAAATTTGGCCTGTACGTCATGGTATCTTGGTCGCGAGTTTCTAGCATCGGGAAGAAACGGTCAACTCGCAGATTCCATTTCGAGAAGCCGGTCGATAAGCCCTATATATTGCCGGAGGTTGGAATCAGATGCGCTTTGTCTGGCATCTTGTGCTACTGGGCAGTCGTGTATCACATGGAATCTGGAGCTCAGTATGTGTTACGGAGGAGGCTTGCAATAGAGGGTGCATGTAAAAGGTATCTCTACAGGTTATTCGTCTGATGAACTCAGCTCGTCTTCTTCCCCTTCTTCAAAACAACATAGAGTAAGGAAGTCAATAAATACGTATATTGTCTTTTTACAACCAGAAGGGGAAACAAAAAAAGGAAGAAAAGAGAAGGAAAAAGATAAGTCCAGTCACATGAAAGATACACTGACCCTTGTAATTTCAGCTCTACGCTCATCTCAAATTCCGTACTTGAAGTTGAGGAGTTCGAAGATGTATCTTTTGAAGTCCTGATCTGTATCAATGTTTTCTTCCATCATGACATAAGTCAAACCCCCCACTTCCCGGCACCCCCCTGTTTCTGGCACCCACAAAAACGCGAAAATCCACCACAACGCAATGCCCACCCCCAACCTCCTTTTATCACAACATTTTCAATTCGAGTCCAAATGGGCTCATTTTTTGCACATACCTTCTTCTATATCTAATGCCTCAATATACCGAAGATCAGCTTCGTCAGGCTCTCGAGGACATCTCAAACGGCAAGAGTCAAAAGAGAGCCTCATTGGAGTATGGGATACCACGATCAACCCTCCAACTACGTCTCCAAGGTGGTCAGACTAGGAAAGTGGCTTTTGCTGACTGGCAGAGGCTGTCTCCTGACCAGGAGAGTAAGCTGGCACAATGGGTTCGCATTCAGGCTTCGCTGGGCCTCGCAACGCACCAACAGGTGAAGGAATTCGCAGAGCGAGTTCTGGCTGCTGCTGGGGATACCAAACCATTAGGAAAAGGCTGGATCTATGCCTTCGTGAGAAGGAACCCTATCATTAAGGTTCAGAGAAGTCGTTCCATCGATTCTAGACGCGTTAATGGGGCATCTACTGAGGTCATTAGGAACTGGTTTAAGTTCCTTGCTATCCCTGAGATCAAGGACATCAAACCAGCCAACAGATATAATATGGATGAGACTGGCATCCTCGAGGGTCAGGAGCTAATGGGTTAGTGCTGGGCATGGCTGAGACGACGTCTGTTCGCAAGAAACAACCTGGGTCGAGGGCATGGGTCTCTATCATTGAGTGTATCTCAGCCTTGGGTAGGGCACTTCGTCCTCTTATCATTTTCAAGGGAAGACGGTCCAACAACAGTGGTTTCCATTACATCTGGTTCCATACGATGGGTGGGAGTTTACAGCAACAGATAATGGCTGGACTACAGACTTAACTGCCATTGAATGGTTAGAGAAGGTGTTTATCCCACAGACTATGCCCGAGGCTGAGGGCGAGGCTCGACTGTTGATTGTGGATGGGCATGGGAGTCATACGACGACAGACTTCATGTGGAATTGCTATATTAACAATATCCATTTACTGTTCTTACCACCACACTCCTCTCATGTCCTCCAGCCACTTGACCAGTCTGTCTTCAGCCCTGTTAAGTCAGCCTATCGGAAGGAGCTCGGTTACTTGTCTCAATGGAACGACTCTACCATTATAGGTAAAAGGAACTTCCTGGACTGTTACCAGAAGGCTCGACTTGCTGGTCTATCAGTCTCGAACATCAGAAGTGGTTGGAAGTGGACTGGTCTACACCCTGTAGCGATGGTTAAGCCCCTGATGAACCCTATGGTATTACCTGAGCCTTCTGCTAAGCCCACCACACCAAACCAACCAGTCGGGGCAAAAAGCGATGCCATAATGGTCAACAAACTACCCCTGTTGAGCCATGGGATTCTGCTTCCTCTGCAGTGGTCTGGTCGACACCCAGGAAGCTGGCAGAGCTCAGCGGTCAACTGCACTTACACAACTCGACAATGATACCAGCACTCAACGGCTGCTGTTCAGGAAGGTGAAAAAGGCTTCACAGAGCAGGCCTGGCAACTGGCAGCTGCCCAGCAGCAGCTGGCTCACCTGAGGGCTCAAGTTACCAACGCTGCAGTTAGGAAGAGGAAGACTGTTCAGATCGATCCCAACACGAAGTTTGCGAACATCAGGGATATCCATCGGGCTCAAATCGAAGCGGGTGAAAAGGAGGTTATTACGGCTGAATCCAGCGACTCTGAATGCCCTAGTGAGGCTGGCAGTTGTATTGTAGTGGGTGTGGTTGAGGATCAATAGTTAATAGTAATGAGGAGGTTGGGTTGTGATCCCATCGTTTTTGTGGGTGCCAGAAACAGGGGGGTGCCAGGAAGTGGGGGGTTTGACTTATCTAGCGTTGCTAACATGGTTGACGTGGTCGTACTATATTCCCTTGACGACGAGTATGTTATTGTTCTGAATCTCCAAATCGGGCGCCACAGACTCCACGGGTGTGAGAACTTCTGGCCTTTCGTCCTCAGAAAGACATTTTGATTCTGCCCACCTGTATGATGAGGCGATAGTTCGGGCACGGTGAAATCGGGTAGTCGTGGAGCGAAATGTGGACACCCTTGTTTAAATCGTCTGCCGCTTGGTGAGATGGCGATGATGCACTTCCGATCTACACAAGTCGGATCAAGCCTTGTAACAAAGCTGAATGATCGAGATACCCTTCGAATTTCGGAATATTGGGCGATATTTTGAGGTGCCTGACGTTGAGCTTGGAGAGCTCACGGAAACCGAAGTACTGTTAACTACTGAGTTAAGCATGAAGAGGCATGTGGAGAAGTTATGATAGTCTTGCGCTCTCATGAACTGAGATGAAAGGGTTAGAAACCTGTCTTGAGATGTATACTTAGAATGGGCATCGACCGGTAAGCCATGTGCCCGGATAATTCTGTGAGTGCTCAAGTTGTCATTGACGACGTGCTCAGATATCGAGTATACTCCTGTTTCTGTTGATGACCTGCAGGCAACCATTTTCAAGTCGCCTGGCCAAGCTCGGTTTCTTTGCCCTTCCTATCGGCGCATTCGCTGATGCTCTACACCTGGCGGTGAGACGTACTGTTGGAAAGGCCCAACTCCAGAGCCCAGAGTGAATCACATAAGCAAAAGCGCCAAGCACCAACTAGCATGAACCTGGTTCGTAATCACTGGTCGAATCTGCAAGCTGAACATGAAATTCAGTCTGCTCAGTCCTGGCTCTCAACCTGCTAACCAATACAGCCACCCGGCTCGACAAGCCAGAGTGCAGAAAAGTAGACCGCAAGAATATCAATATATCATGGATAACTCGCACAGCACGCACGAAGCAGGTTTGAACAAGTTTGAATCTAAAAAGTTGTTTTTACACTTGATATTAAATAAAATTAGACGTCCTTCACCTTAGTAAGGGATATTCATGCCTGACAAGTGCCAAGTAAATCGCTCGCTATGTCGTCGAAGGCTGTCAAAATGCGGTTGAAAGTCGTGTCGGGTCATTTGTGATTCTCGAACCTCCTATTCTCCAAGCCTATGGGTTTTTCGCCGGAAATTGGTCCAAGATCGGAGAGTACGCCCGATCTGCTCGTTGTAGCCGTACGTGACAGCGTGTACTAAGCCGATATACTGTGAAGACGCCAGGAGACCAATGAGCCAGTTTGGTGAGGTGCCGCCCTGTATCTCAATCAATCGATTCACAATCCCAGGTGTCCAGAGAATGAGATAGCCGATCGGATAACCGTTCAATAATAGCATACGGCGCAGGTTTGGCGGCGGCGGGAGCTTTGGCGGGTCCGTAGACACGTCCGGTTCTCCCAAGCCTGTGGTATGATCTCCTCCAATAGCTGCGTTGTGTGATGAAGCAAAGTTCAGGTCGTCGGTCTGATCGTTTCGGTCGTTAATCGGTGCTGTTGACGACGAATCGCTAGCCAACCCTCGATTATCCTCCTGGTCGTGTGAAACGGTAAACGACGTCGTCTTCATGATATACTGCTCCGTGGGAGGCTTCTGATCTTCATTGGCTGGTAGAGTTTGTGTGCGGCGGCTCCTGCCTGTGGTGATAGCTTCGATGGAATTTTCCGAAAAACGGAAGCGGCCGAATAATCGTCTCAGTTTGATGTAAATGGCTGTATAGATGCCGACTGTCAAGAAGAATATCAAGAGGCGCCACCCAAAGGACAATGCCCAACGGTAAACGGGATACTTCTTCTGAATCCAGCACCAATTCCCACCTACTGGGCCGTATATATGCAATCCAAGGGCAGTGAAGCCTAGTTCCGGCATCAAAATGCGCAACGTTCTGAACATGGAGTAGTGAATGACCTACTAGTGATAATGCCTGGTATCCATGCACAGAGACATACAACAAGGATCCGTAGTAGTGAAGAATCTTGCAGCAGATGATTCTTGTTTACAGTGAGAAGGACCGTTATCGAGATGAACAAGATATTGAAGTCCGTCGTTTGAACTGTAAGCTGGCCCACCCACGCATTCATGGTACATCCTCCGGCAGGAATTGATTGATCAAGAGGGCCATCCCTCAGTAATATGATGCCAGTTACAGTATTGTTCACCATGTCGACAAAGTCTGAAGACATATTGTTAGACACGACTTGATCCATTGCTTCTTGATGTTCAACATACCAGATAGTAGAAGATTAACAATGAGCGCATGGCGGACATGCCGGCGTCTCGGAGGAGAGATAAAATGCAAAATTAGGACGGCAAATGTAAAAAGGGCGGACAAGACAGATCCGATGAAGGTGGGTATTGCGACTGCCAAGTCCACCTTTGCTGAAGCCATGTCGCAGCAGAACTAACTGGACGATGGGATTCGTAAACGTTCGGTAGTTTTAGGTAATGATACCAGGCCCGAAAGCCGTTGGCGACGTGGAGAATTCCAGTCCTGATTAGTTGAAAACAAATGTTAAACAAGAATCTACAAATAGGAACTGAAAGAGCAACTAACGCTTGTGCAAGAATTCGAGATTTGTGACATGGCTTTGCTAAGACTGTCTCATTCTGCACGAGTATGCATTTCCAGCTCCCGGTGTGTGCCTCGATATGCAAGTTATTATTCGACAGAAGGAAGACTTCTGGCTTATAATACCGGCGAAATAGCAGCTGCCGATTCGTTAGCATTGATCAGGCACAAAGTTGGGTGAGCGCAATCTGGCTGTACCTTATCTCGGTCACTGCATCACCATATCGTTTCACGGTTCACATTAGATTCGATGTGGGAGGTATGCGCATTTTGGGCGTTCTCGTATTGTGGCTTAGTGCCCGTTGCTCTTGGGGCGACCGTCCGTTAAAAGATAACGCGCCCACTCGGCAAGGGATAGAAAGAAGAAAAGATAGCGCGTGAGTAGAACCAGTGAGGAATTGATATGGCAGCGTCAGATGGCCGTCAGATGAAAGGAAAACGCCACTAGTTCATCTCCCCTGTATGAGTCCATTGGCTATCTCCCAGACAATGTCCCCCTCAGTCAATCAAAGTGCACAATGCTATCAGTATGTCGCAATACCCAATGCTCTTTCGTGGCCTCGGGGATTTAGCGTCTAATAAGCTTCGGGCCCCCCTGCCATTGTCTGTAGATCCGAGGCCTGATTGCGAGGCAAGATGGAAGTCCCCTGCGTGGCGTTGCAATGCTTGATGGATGCTGCGCTGCTGATGCAAAGCCACTCCTTCCGGTGGACGGGTGTCTGAGACGCCCGAAACAGGGGCGCACTCTATTGACCGTTTGTCTACCCCAGATCCATGCCGGTACTCTCAGCTCATGTCTGCTAACCTACCTCTGTGTGCTACGTAGGTGCGAGTGGCTAATCACGCTTCAAGGGGGTTCACGGCAATACGGAACCCGCGAGTCAGTCATGATGGAACGAATCCTTGATTCCTTCCCACCCGGGCTCGCTCTCGTATGATAACGCTGGCGTGAGTACTGAGAACACGGCGCCCATGCGTCTACCTTTAGTGTCGTTTCTGATCCTTAGCCGTATCGTCTCTTCGCGAAAGAGCTGCCTTTTACGAACCACACGTTGATAGCACGTTGCTCAAGGATCCGGCCGCGGGGCACGGCCCGGACCCGAGATTCAGTGTTGTGTTGTCGACGGGTCCGTGGAAGCTGAAGCGCAGTGCCATGATTAGAAAATAGCCATCGCCATTCCATACTCAAAGATGCTTTTCAGAGATTCTGAAGGCGGCGCCGGTCAATTTGCCATCTGGCATGTGTGGCTGGGGTTCTGCCATGATGGCTTCCAAGCATGCAGAGCATCAACATAATGATTGCCAATTCAAATAATCCTATACCCAAGAGTGAACGACGGATGATACGGTTTTTTGGATAATCGAGGCCATCATGATAGGAACCTTCTCTTTGTACCAGAAGAACCATAATCAATTGTCAAGAAGTTGGGGATATCTCCGTGCTTTAAGTATTCTGTAGGTAGTCTGACGCCGAAATATGGGGCTACGGCCAGCCCATGTTCCACATCCAGCACGTGGATGGAAGTTTAAGAGCATCTGCAACACCTGAGCAGTCCCCGCAAAGTTGTAGTAAGCGACTTGAAAGCTCTAACTGGCTGACCAGCAGTGAGCTACTTCAGTTATGGTCTGAAGTCAGATGGAAGAATGTGAGAAGTTAGGTAAGCTCAATATGGCCGTCAACCCTGCTTGAATGCTGCAATTTTTTCTCTGAACACAGCATCCCAATATTCATCGCACATGCTTCTACTCAGCTCTCAAGAGCATTCACGCCGCATGCCGTTGCGCCTTCATGATGCCCGCTGGCTTTACGCCTTTGTTCGACAGCAATCTGACGGGACTGAGTCAGAAGGGCGCGGGTGCTCACTGGCCAGTCAGAGCCCGCCCCCACAATCCCTAGAGTGCCTGGTTGATTATATAAGGTTACTATGAGGGAATACTGGGCTTGACATTGATGCCAATGACGCATACTTTTATACCCTATAGACGATCTCTATTAGAATTCGACAAGTGAGTCAGGTTGACTTAGACTGCCTTACCTATGTCATAATTCACCACATTGATACTGATTCTCAGTCAAAGGAACTGAACAATACCGCAACTCAACATGGCTGCGATATCCGCTCCTCCACCTGTTCACTCAGCCCTAGATGCCATCGGCAACACACCATGCGTACGACTGCGTAGTGTTGTACCGGAAGGTAGCGCCGACGTGTATTTGAAGCTTGAGTCTCTCAATCCCACGGGCTCCTACAAAGATCGCTTAGCCAGAGCCATAGTCGAAGAGGCAGAACGCCGAGGAGACTTGAAGCCAGGCTCGACCATAGTCGAAGCCACCGGCGGTAGCACGGGGTCTTCTCTGGCTTTCGTATGCACCTTGAAGGGGTACGGGTTCCATGCCGTCTGCTCGGATGTCTTTGCCAAAGAGAAATTGCGCACGATGGCTGCTTTTGGGGCTTTTGTCGATATCGTCCACAGTCCCACCGGAAAGATTACGCCAGATCTGTTTCCGTCTATGGTCAAGAAGGCGAAGACAATCGTCGAAGAAAACGAGGGGTACTACGCCGCAGACCAGTTCAAAAACAAGGACTGTATGGCGGGTTACAAGACTCTTGGAGACGAATTGGTCCAGCAATTTCCACAAGGAATTGATGCCTTCTGCGGTGCCATTGGCGGCGCTGGCATGGTGATGGGAGTTGCAAAGGTGCTTAAAGGTGTGCGAGCTGATACAAAGATTATCACGCTTGAGCCTGCATCATCGCCTGTTGTTGCCAAAGGACATGGAGGTGTCCATGGAATTGAAGGCATCAGTCCCGGATTTGTTCCGCCATTGCTTGACGACACCTTATACGACGAAGCACGAGCGTATCCGGAGGATGAGGCGCGGGCCATGTGCCGCAGACTCGCAAAGGAAGAGGGACTTTTGACGGGAACTTCAACAGGACTCAATGTTGTTGGAGCTCTAGCCTTGGCTAAGGAACTTGGCCCTGGCAAAGTGGTTGTCACGGTGGCTTGTGATACGGGTCTCAAGTACACGAGCGGCACTCTGTATGAATAGTCTCACTGCAGAGTTGAGAGGCAGCTCAATAAGATGCAAAGTCAACTTTACAGTATTCTTGCTTGAGGCAATCTGGTCGGTATTTACATGTAGAGTGCATGTTACTTATGCTGTCCATTAGTTTGAACGGCATTACCAATCAGCTCGCTATTGCAATGTCTATTTTCTTGAAAGCAACGGCTCTCTACGCGCATTGTTGAAATTGAAATACCGCGTTGTTGTTGAGATTACAAGTCCTCAATCTTTCATGGTATTCCCCACGCGCACGTCATGGGTTGACTCACCACCTCTCAGCTTTGCATGTGATCGACAGTCAACCCATGCCTGAGAAACATACTGAAAAGTGTGCTCTGTTCATTGGAAGACCATCGGGCTTGCTTTCTTCCGCCCAAAAATGCCAGCTCGCTTGACGCGCTTTCGAAGTAGTAACGTTCAAGGTGGAAGGTTGGAGGAGGCTCCTATTTTAACTGCAACCGTTGCTCAGATCCCAAGCCCAATCCTGGCCTCAGAACTGTCACAAGAAACACCTCAATGGTCACTCGTTGGTGAGCAGATTTCTAAGATTGGCGCGAACCCCCGCTTTCAGCGTGCCGTAGCTTGATCCCTGAATGCCAATAATACCCGTAATTTTTCGATGGGTCTTGGTTCGTCATTGGAGGAGTCGTTCCCACAACCATCTTGAAGCCAGCGAATGTGTTCAACGGCCACCTCGTAGGAACAGCATCACTGTCTCCTAATGATCATTATAGGTTGAGCTTACGTCTCAGTGAACGTTGCAGAATATGGAGATTCTCCAGAAGCTTTCAAGCTTGCAGTGGGCGTACAACATGTGGTCAAAGGGCTCGGGAATATACTCGCGCGTTCCGCGGAGAGTTTTGTTGGGGGCTCTGAGAAGCAGACTGGAGGTCAACGCTTCGCGCGTAAAGCTCCACTCGCCGTAGCTACACCCGGCGGGGGATAACGCGCCCTATCGTATCGTTTCTTTTCGAGATGACCTCTTCCCTGTGCCCCCTTCGCTCCCCTTAGTCCCCTCTCAACCTATCCACCTAGGCTTTCCACCAATCCAAGAATCCTGGGGTCGCATCCGGTTAGCCGAGAGCTGCGGGAAGCTTTGCCAGTGCAGCAGTGTTAACCCACCGGCTCTTGGCCCTGAAGTTGACTCAGATGTGCGCACATAGGCGTGTCTAACCGCCGGTTATGGCTTATGGCGCCGCTGAAGCAGCTTCAGGCCGGACCGTGTTGGCCAGGGGAGCTATTATTGCTCGACCGATTCCCGAGGTGGTGAGGCGGGAACCCTGAAGCTTCAAAACCCCTCACCCCTCATTCTTTCGTGTGCCGAAGCTGTCTGACAGCTCACCTTGCCGTCCTTCAAGATCTGTGCTTCGTTCAACCCAGGAACTGACGAATACCTGCTGTCCTCTGGCAACTGGATCCTCGGCTTACATTCGAGGCGTTGAGAAAGTCAATTGGTGATTCCAGCCTGCAGACTAATACCCCTTGCCGAGCGCCAACAAGACCTGCCTTCACCATCAAGGTACTCGGATCACACATCTCAAGTCAACAAACATGAAAGCCAACGCAATGGCTGTTGCCAGAACCGCTGCCTTGCGAGGCCTTGGACGAACAACTCTCTCTTCGCAATTCACCCATAAGCAGCTCCCGGTTGTATCCCGAGCATGCATGTCCTCCGTCGCGGAAGCTGTCGGCGTGGCACCCGCTCCCCCGCCTCCCACACCGGTCAACGATGCCGAGCTGAAGGCCGCACAGCGTGCCATTGAGGCGAAGAAGATTCTGCAAAAGGCCGCCAGCGCAACCACTGTTAGACATGACTGGACAAGAGAGGAGATCTCTGCCATCTACTACCAACCCCTGATGGAGTTGGCTTTCCAAGCTGTAAGACTCTCGAGACCATCATCGTCATCTCGTGAATTGCTAACGAGATATCATTCACCAGGGCTCCATCCACCGCCGCTTCCACAACCCTTCCGAAGTCCAGCTCTGCACGCTCATGAACATCAAGACCGGCGGCTGCACCGAAGACTGCTCCTACTGTGCCCAGTCAACCCGATACCAAGATGGCACCGGCCTCAAGGCTAAGAAGGTCGAGAGCGTCGAGTCTGTCCTCGCCGCGGCCCGCACCGCAAAGGAGAATGGTAGCACGCGCTTTTGCATGGGCGCCGCATGGCGCGATATGCGCGGCCGCAAGAACAGCTTAAAGAACATCAAGGCCATGGTCACGGGTGTACGGGCAATGGATATGGAGGTCTGCGTCACTCTCGGCATGATTGACTCGGAACAGGCTAAGGAGCTCAAGGAGGCCGGGCTGACTGCCTACAACCACAACGTCGACACCAGCCGCGAGTTCTACCCGTCTGTCATCTCGACCCGCAGCTACGACGAGCGCCTCAAGACCCTGAGCCACGTCCGCGACGCCGGTATTAACGTATGTTCGGGTGGCATTCTCGGACTCGGAGAGTCATCCGACGACCGCGTTGGTCTGCTGCACACCGTCTCCACGCTCCCTTCCCACCCCGAGAGCTTCCCTGTCAACGCCCTTGTACCGATCAAGGGTACGCCGCTGGGCGACCGCACACCTATCCAGTTCTCAAGCATGCTGCGGACCATTGCGACCGCCCGCCTTCTTATGCCGGCGACCATTATCCGTATTGCCGCCGGAAGGAAGACCATGTCGGAGGAGAAGCAGGCCATGTGCTTCATGGCAGGAGCCAACGCCATCTTCACAGGCGAAAAGATGTTGACGACGGACTGCAACAGCTGGGACGAGGATAATGCCATGTTTGGCCGCTGGGGTTTGACACCAATGAAGAGCCACCACAAGTCGCCGGCTCCGATGGCCGAGATTGAGATCTAAAGATAAAAGCAACAAGAATAAAAGATTTTACACCATCACAGACTTGATGTGAGGGGTCTCGAAACGCGTTCCTCAAAACCTAAAGGCCTTTGACGAGATGTTCAGAGTCTATCTTAATGCTACATGACTCATTGCCCCTTTTCCATCGTTCGACTCAAAAGCCTCTGTGTGCGCGTTCTTCCCACCTAGAACTCAGTCTTGAAGAGTTTCATTTCCCTGATGACCTGACCGTACTTATAGAAAACTAAGGGGATTGGGATCATGGCAAAAGCAATGAAGCCGAGGAGTGAGTTTCCCCATCCGAGCCCTAGGCTCTGGTACAACCGGTCACCAGCCAGGGGCAGGAATGCGCCCAACAATGACCTGGTTACTGTGCTGGCTGCCATGGCTGAAGCAGCGTATGTCGTAAATGCGTCAACCAGATAGGTCGAGATCGACATCTTCAAGATACACACGTCAGTACTGATGAGACAGTCACATAGGTAGGTGCAGTTTCTTACCAGGACTATAACAATCCCACATCCTAGGATGGCTGTTCCTACGATAGGTAGCATCCATTGAAGCTGTTTTTCTGTGGTCCAGCCATACCAGAAGAGTCCTATGGGGACCAGGATAGCGCCTATAAGCATGGGGGGCAGTCGATAAGTCAAACCCCCCACTTCCCGGCACCCCCCTGTTTCTGGCACCCACAAAAACGCGAAAATCCACCACAACGCAATGCCCACCCCCAACCTCCTTTTATCACAACATTTTCAATTCGAGCTCATTTTTGCACATACCTTCTTCTATATCTAATGCCTCAATATACCGAAGATCAGCTTCGTCAGGCTCTCGAGGACATCTCAAACGGCAAGAGTCAAAAGAGAGCCTCATTGGAGTATGGGATACCACGATCAACCCTCCAACTACGTCTCCAAGGTGGTCAGACTAGGAAAGTGGCTTTTGCTGACTGGCAGAGGCTGTCTCCTGACCAGGAGAGTAAGCTGGCACAATGGGTTCGCATTCAGGCTTCGCTGGGCCTCGCACCAACGCACCAACAGGTGAAGGAATTCGCAGAGCGAGTTCTGGCTGCTGCTGGGATACCAAACCATTAGGAAAAGGCTGGATCTATGCCTTCGTGAGAAGGAACCCTATCATTAAGGTTCAGAGAAGTCGTTCCATCGATTCTAGACGCGTTAATGGGGCATCTACTGAGGTCATTAGGAACTGGTTTAAGTTCCTTGCTATCCCTGAGATCAAGGACATCAAACCAGCCAACAGATATAATATGGATGAGACTGGCATCCTCGAGGGTCAGGAGCTAATGGGTTAGTGCTGGGCATGGCTGAGACGACGTCTGTTCGCAAGAAACAACCTGGGTCGAGGGCATGGGTCTCTATCATTGAGTGTATCTCAGCCTTGGGTAGGGCACTTCGTCCTCTTATCATTTTCAAGGGAAGACGGTCCAACAACAGTGGTTTCCATTACATCTGGTTCCATACGATGGGTGGGAGTTTACAGCAACAGATAATGGCTGGACTACAGACTTAACTGCCATTGAATGGTTAGAGAAGGTGTTTATCCCACAGACTATGCCCGAGGCTGAGGCGAGGCTCGACTGTTGATTGTGGATGGGCATGGGAGTCATACGACGACAGACTTCATGTGGAATTGCTATATTAACAATATCCATTTACTGTTCTTACCACCACACTCCTCTCATGTCCTCCAGCCACTTGACCAGTCTGTCTTCAGCCCTGTTAAGTCAGCCTATCGGAAGGAGCTCGGTTACTTGTCTCAATGGAACGACTCTACCATTATAGGTAAAAGGAACTTCCTGGACTGTTACCAGAAGGCTCGACTTGCTGGTCTATCAGTCTCGAACATCAGAAGTGGTTGGAAGTGGACTGGTCTACACCCTGTAGCGATGGTTAAGCCCCTGATGAACCCTATGGTATTACCTGAGCCTTCTGCTAAGCCCACCACACCCAAACCAACCAGTCGGGGCAAAAGCGATGCCATAATGGTCAACAAACTACCCTGTTGAGCCATGGGATTCTGCTTCCTCTGCAGTGGTCTGGTCGACACCCAGGAAGCTGGCAGAGCTCAGCGGTCAACTGCACTTATACACCCAACTCGACAATGATACCAGCACTCAACGGCTGCTGTTCAGGAAGGTGAAAAAAGGCTTCACAGAGCAGGCCTGGCAACTGGCAGCTGCCCAGCAGCAGCTGGCTCACCTGAGGCTCAAGTTACCAACGCTGCAGTTAGGAAGAGGAAGACTGTTCAGATCGATCCCAACACGAAGTTTGCGAACATCAGGGATATCCATCGGGCTCAAATCGAAGCGGGTGAAAAGGAGGTTATTACGGCTGAATCCAGCGACTCTGAATGCCCTAGTGAGGCTGGCAGTTGTATTGTAGTGGGTGTGGTTGAGGATCAATAGTTAATAGTAATGAGGAGGTTGGGTTGTGATCCCATCGTTTTTGTGGGTGCCAGAAACAGGGGGGTGCCAGGAAGTGGGGGGTTTGACTTATTCCGGCTGAAATTGCCCGTCATTTCTGAGTGACAACTTCAGCACAAGCCTGTCTGACACTAGACCGGCAAACAGGAGACCGATCACGGACCCCACGCCGATGCCGATGTACGCCAGCCCCGCTGACCCTTGAGAAAATCCGTACTGCTGCTTGAAAACTTGGGGGAAGGTTGTGAAAAGCAGGTAGAGGTAGCCATAGAGGATGGCCATATAAATTGAAAGGCAGAAAACAATGGGCGAGAGAAACATCATCTTTGCCGGTCGAAGAATGGAGAACATGAAGAGGTCTTTTGGCTTGCGGTGGGTTGCTAGAACAGATTCCAGGTGTGGGTTTCTGGTCTGCAGGCGAAGTCGTCGTGCCTTTCGCTCGAGAAGGGTCAGGGCGTATGATTCGGGCATGCAGAATGCTGTGCCGAGGGCAGCTACGCCAGCCTTCAAAGTCACGTCAGCTGTGATTAAAGAACACAAAGCGGCTATGACCAGAGTATCAACTCACAGCAACAGACACCACTCGAAAAGACCATCGCCAGCCTATCGTTTCTGATAAATACCCTCCCGCAATGGGCCCTATGGTTGGGCCCACCATCGGCCCAAGAGTCCAGACCATCATGGCAACTCCTCTCTTCTCTCTCGGAATTGTGTCTGCCAGCGACGCAGCCCCAAGAGTCAACGGGGCAGATCCGCCTATGCCAGCAAAGATGCGAAACGCAATCATGCTGCCCGAGTTGGGTGCCACGGAGCATGCGACGTTAAAAATGAGAAACAAGAGACTGCCAGCGTTGTATAGAACATAGCGACCGTACATCTCTGAAAGTGGTGCGATGAATAGTGGACCACAGCAGTAGCCGATGAGAAATCCTGATATCATGAACGCCCCGACGTATATGTCCGTGACGTTGAAATCGGACTTGATGGAAGCAATTCCCGGTGCCGCAATCGATGATGCCAGAGGGCTGCGATAACAATTCGTATTAGTATTGATGCAGTCTTGTTGTGTGATTCTGCTTTCTTAGGTTGAATAATGAGCCATACCTGAGGGTTGAGATGTACCCAAGTGTCGTGATGAATAGAGCCTTCTGGCTCTTTGACCAGTTCATCGGATTTTCTGGGTCGTCTGGTCCATCCCAGTCAACCAAGTTAGAATTCACCATTGCAGTATCGCTGTCGTCCGTGGCATCACTATGGCTCATGTTGGTCTCCTGTCCGGGCTGAATCGTCTGTTCGCCCATAGTTGCTTTCTTAGACTCATGTCTATCAGACTCACGAACGAATGGGGGAACCTATCAACTTTTCGAATGAACCGAGATACGACCTGATATCCCTAGCTGACTTGGCATAACGTTACGAACTTGGCTGACGGCGTTCTCGGCTCGTCCTTGAGGCCTGGTTGTACCGAAGCACGTCGTCGGAGTCTCGGACCTTTTGAAGATTTCCGGAGTGACGCCGGCTCTGTAGTGAAGAGCTCGGTTGTGGCGATGTCCGTTCGCCGAATCCCACCCCTTAAGCTTATTCGCTTCTTTGATTGCGGGGATAATTCAAAAGCCGTATTCCCCATACTGAGACTCCAATCGGATGATGGATGTTGGAAACTGGTGACTAGTTGTCCGGGCCGTTGCCGCTGTGGATACTGTTAGCGGAACGTTATACCAAGTATAAAATGACTGTCTTGAAAGTCGAGCAGAGACTACTGGCCATCGTTGATATCGAGCACATTATTGTTCATTATTCAAACCTAAATTACCTTATTCTAACTTCCAAGGTGTCACCATGTCGATCAAGCTTGAGCAAGTCCCTCCCCACCGTTTGTCGAAGCTGAGCGATCCTACATCAGTAAAGCTCAAGAAGCTGCTGAACCGTAACCACAATGAGCACGCCATTCTTCGAGACCCTCGACTAATTTTACACAACCATATGCCGCATGTGAGTATTCCTCGAGCTTGATGCTCGGCCACTATTCACTTATACCTCGGTACTTGATCATCGGGACGGAGGCTGATATAACCACTTCACATGTGGCAGGCTCTTGGGTCGTCTTATCTTCTCGGCGCGACAGACACGCAGTTACAGCATATTTTCGACGTCGAATCCCCTCATCTAGTCGAATCTGACGACAAACGAATCACGCATGAAGAGGTCACCACATACAACTGGAGGAAGTTTCTTGGGCAGAAGCCATACACTGCGGCCTATGCCATATTCTTTGACGGTGAAGTTGCGAAATACGGCGGCGACTGGAAAAAGGTTGTAGAAGACTATGTCTGGGCTGGACCTGAACCGATCATCAACGGATTTTCTGGAGGGCGTAAGTCTTCCGTTCTCTACCTTAGGCTATTTCTCATCACGTCCGGTGATATATCTGGTTTTGACTAACTTTTCATCATCGCAGTCGGTCACCCTTTCATCCATCTTGCATACGCATACGAGTTTGATGACGAAAAGGTCGCCACGGAAGCCTTGAGTATGGGTTGCACGGAGTACGATCCGACTCACGAGATTCTGGATAACCCTCCACTGGACACGTCAACTTACAAGACCAAAAGCATCAAGGAAGTCTTGGGTCGTATTCGTGCCGACAAGAGATTCGATGGCTACGTCGATTCCCCGGGGTTCGTGAATCTCTTCACACTCCTCGGCAGATTTAGATCTGAAGTAATTGAACACTGGCACGCGTGGGTCGTCGAGAATCCAGACTCGCAGCTCGGGGACTGCGCCAAGATGGCAGCGGAGCTGTTCATGGAAACGCGCAATAACGAGGAGGGTATGTTCGATTTCTTCGTGGCTCACATTCTGACTTTTGCACATGCTCTGCGCATTCTTCTGCCGCTCTGGTCGCATGAGCAGAAAGTTTCGGTGATGAGACAATACGGCCTCTATGTGATGATGGTGTACATCGCACAGCTTCGACCGGGCCTCGACTGGGATGAAGAAGGGTTGTCGCACGGTGGCGAGACACCTGCGTGGGACACAATTTTCAAGAACTCATTGAAGAGCAAGTGGATGACTGACGTGCACTTCCCGAAGGTCGTCAGAGGTATGAAGGTGGTTGAAGAGACTTGGGGGGCTTCAGGCGGACTCTATCAACGAGCTGCCGACGTGTTTGTGAATGAGTTTAACGGGTGGGGAGGATATGGTGTCGGTGTCGAGGCTGCCTTTGGGCTTACTGGTGTTGCTTAGCTGGTTTTTATTAGGCTCAGCATCCCTTGATCGGCAGTTGACCGACGCATTTCTTACAAGTGATCAAATAGCATGAGAACGTGAGTGACATGGTGGGAATAAGACCGAGTGTTTCAAGTGGGAGATGAGTGAGTGAAGTGAAGTGAAGTGAAGTGAAGTGAGAGAAGTGAGATGAACGACGAAGGAAGAGTGAGATGAGGTAAGCTCAATCAACATGAGGAGGTGCGCCCGTTGAAGTTTAATTTCAAGTGAGCAGACTGCCGGACCTTGTCCCTCTCTGTCTCTTACCACTGCACCGCCCGTCTCAAATAGCGCGAAACATGGCACAGCAATCAACAATGTACGTACTCTGGTTTAGGGGACCATGTACGTCAAGCGCGCAGTTGAGTGCCGTCATCTGACGCTGTCGCCGTCGCCCTCGACGTCCTCTTGGCACATCAACAACGATCACGACGACTCTCTCCCTAATGCATCCTATGTACATCAACATATTTCCATCGACAACCTCTCCAAGTCTCTAGCAATCCGCGCATGAGTTCCATCAGCTCCCTCGAGCGGTGGCTCGCACGCTTCTCGGGTCGCTTGCGCCGCTATTTACCGCCCCTCAACTTCATCACCATTCATTATGCCTACTTCATCCTCGTCTGTCTAGTCACGTCCGTCATCTTCTGGGGGTCGTCCGATCCAGCGTTCTCGGTCAGCTACACTGATAGCCTCTTCCTTGTCGTGTCTGCCATGACCGAGGCAGGCCTCAATACCGTCAACCTCAGCCAACTGACGACATGGCAGCAATCGCTGCTTTTCATCCTACTGCTCTTGGGCAGCACCATTTGGGTCTCCATCTGGACGGTCTTGGCCCGCAAACATGTCTTTGAGAAGCGCTTCGATGAAATCGTCCGAGCAGAGCGCGCGCGTAAACTCAGTCGCCAGGGTAGTACCATATCGCTAGGCTTGCCGCGATTACCTCTCGACTTGCCCAGGCTGCAGATGGCATTCTCCTTTGGTAAATCGCAGTCAGCACCTCCTCCTCCAGACCAGTCTCTCAGAGCTACAAAGACTGCCGAGTCGGAGAAGGGCGAAAATCGAACAGACGACAAACGAGCGGATGCTATAGAAGCCTCTCCCAAAGATCGCCGCCGGTCTACACTCGAGGATGCGCCTGAGGATGCGCCCGGAAGCACCCAAGAGGTGACGGACTCGCAGGCACCGGGCCACATTACCTTTGACGATGCACCGCACCCCAATGTCGCCGAAAACCAAGCCGCATCAACGGGAGTCTCTCTTCCCGGCAACCCGAATGGAACAGCGCGGCCCTTGAGAAGACCCTACAATGCCCCAGAAGATCCGACTAATGTCAACGCAGACACTCGCGACTTCTTGAAACACCGTTCGGCTAGTCGCCATGGCCAATTTCACGACCTAAGCAGCGATGAACGCGATCATCTCGGCGGCTGCGAATACCGTGCTCTCAAGGTCCTAGCCATGTTGGTACCAACCTATTTCTTCCTGTGGCAGGTTCTGGCATCCCTTGCCCTCGGAGCCTGGATGAACAACTACATGCCCGATACCGCGAGGGCTAACGGTATCAATCCTTGGTGGCTCGGTATCTTCAACGCCGTTTCTGCCTTTAATAATTCGGGCATGTCGCTCCTGGACGCCAACATGATCCCTTTCCAACAGGCGCCGTACGTTCTCATCACAATGGGTCTTTTGATTTTGGCAGGAAACACTGCCTACCCCCTCTTCCTTCGTCTCATCATCTGGTCCTCTCTCCGCCTTCTAAACACAACCACGCGAGAAGACGCCTTCGTCGACCTCAAAGCTACCCTAGAGTTTATCCTAAAATACCCTCGTCGTGTCTACACCAATCTCTTTCCTTCTCGGCCCTCTTGGTGGCTTTTGTTCATGCTGGTTTCCCTCAACTCTGTGGACTGGGTGGCCTTTGAGGTTCTCAACATTGGGAATTCTGTCATCGAGAAGATACCCACAGGCTATCGGGTGCTCAATGGTCTCTTTCAAGCGCTTGGTAAGCCTTCCACTCGTTCATCCTTTGAAACATCACGATGTTCAGCAGGAGGAGACTAACATACCGGATAGCTGTCCGGTCCGGAGGTTTCTACGTCGTCCCTATCTCAGGCCTCTTCATCGGCTTACAGCTACTCTACGTTATAATGATGTACATCTCGGTATACCCCGTTGTCATCACTATGCGCCACTCCAATATTTACGAGGAGCGATCGCTCGGAATATACAGCGACGACATAGACACCGCATCCGAGAACGACCCTGAGGTGGCCGATCCCCTGCTCCCTATAGGCAGTCGACCTCCGACATTGGCACGCACTACTAGCATTGGCGCAGCTTCTGCCCGACCTTCTGTCTTGGCACGCCGACTTAGCCGTTCAGTTCCGGTCGTTGAAGCCCGCCGTGCATTCAAGAGCACCTTCATGAGCTTTCATGGTGTCGGCGTTGTGCCACCGAAGGGACCCGGACTCGGCCAGAGCGGCGCCGAGCAGGGTGAGAGCCGCGTTAGTTTTATCAGTCACCAGATTCGCGGGCAGCTTGCCCATGACCTCTGGTGGCTGGTCCTAGCTGTTTTGATAATCACCATCATCGAGACGTCGAAATTCATTCAGGATCCCGTGACATTTTCGGTCTTTAACATCATATTCGAGGTCGTCTCAGCATACGGTACGGTCGGAATATCAGTCGGCATACCAACTGACGCGTACAGCTTTTGCGGCGCCTGGCACGTCGGGAGCAAGCTCGTTCTATGCCTGGTGATGTTACGTGGCAGGCATCGGGGGCTACCAGTCGCGCTGGATCACGCAGTGCGACTTCCAGGACGGCAGCTCTATCGGTATGAAGAGGAGGACCACCAGATACGGAGGAGCAGGACAATCGAGCTGGAACGGTAGAAGTACATGTAGATTGCCTCAAGGCACGCTTATCAGACATGTTGAAGAGAATCATTCAATTGCGAATAGCTCAAAGATCGATGCTGTCTACACGTAAGAGTGCTCTGAATGGGATCTATAACGTTAACGCTAGGTGAAGATGCAGTATAAAATGATAGACTGATCAGGAACACGAGAACTCGCTTCAAGTATGCAACCAACGAAGAACATACGATGCGATCATTCAAACAAAGACCAAATGCGCTAACCACTCTAATGCACTAGGCGAGATGCAATGTGATGCAATGCGATGATAGGGTACCTAGGGAATCAAGAGACGTGAACAATGAATAAATAGCCAAAACAAAGTCGCAGAGATTGAGAGGTAAGATAGTTTAGTGTCATCTCGACATTGCCACGGTAATTTGTAGTTGGACTATTCTATCACGCGGGCAAAGAAACGCTGCGAGGGCAGAGTCGGTCGTACGTCGATTTGCCGAGCTTGGCGATGGGCACGCTTACACCGTGAATCACCTAAACAACGTCAGTATATTGCCTTCCGAAAGAGATTCAGCTGTCGAGAACTCTCGAAAACTAGTGTCACTCACAATGCTGCAGATGATCAAGAACCAGATGGTGACAAGCATGGTTTCGCCCAGCTGTTTCGCGTCCGCTCGCTGGCCGTCGTCATCCGTCAGAGTCTCCAGGAACTCGAGGCCGACGTAGAGATAGAAGATGGCAGAAACGCCAATGGGGCCAAAGTATCCAACAAAAAGCGCCTGTCGTGGACCCCGGATCTGGCGGATGTAGCGGTGCAAGCCGAGTATGACTGGAAGGCGTCTCAGCAGCAAGACAAGAACACCCAGCGCGACCAGACGACCGGGACTAATCAGCTCAGAGTTCCAGAAGCTCTCCCACGGACACACAGCTCCCAGCCACATGAAGATGGCCATGTTGAGCATCATGTCGACGGCGGGCTGCACGGGGTCCTCTACAGTCTCGAGACGGAACCAGTCGTTCCAGGTGAAGACGTTGCCCGCGATGAAGCACGCCAGGACGTCGTCACTGCCGACCATGCCGCACGTGCCGAGGATGAAGATGGCCATGCCGATGGGAAAGAGGAGGAAGCATTCCCGCTCGACGTACTTGCGTCGCTCGGCCCAGTGGAGCAGTCTCTGCGCGAGCAGGCCGACGACCCAGCCATAGAAGACGCTCATGAGCACGACGTAGACGCACGTCTGGCCGAAGAAGAGGCTGAGCGCGGCACCGAATCCGCCCTCGCTCGAGGCTGGGTTGCCGTCGCTCTCGGTGTACTTGATGAGGTAGAGCGCGAGGAAGAGAAAGGGGTACCCCAGGCCATCATTCGCTCCGGACTCCGCGACAATGATCTGCTGCAGGTCCTCAGGCACGTTCTCCTCGGCAAACCGGCCCTTGACAATCGTGGTGGAGAGAACCGGGTCGGTCGGGGTGATGCAGGCCGCGATGGCGAGAGCGTGAACGAGAGGCAGGCCCGGGACGAGGAGCCAGACGACGGCGCTGGTGCAGGTCCACATACCGATCATGCCGGGGCCGAGGAGGAGGCAGAGGGACTTCCACTCTGTGCGAAGGTAGCGGCTCGGCAGCTGGACGCCGGCGAGGACGAGCTGGACGCCGAGGACCAGGCGGCTGAAGTCGAGGGTCACGGAGGCGACGGCATCTTCGGAGACGGCGTACTCGCCGGGCTTGAGGAGCTTGGCGACATGAGTGAAAGTTACGCCTCCGAGGAGGGAGACGACTTTTTGCAGTAGGGTTGGTTAGCTAGTGCGATATGCCTTATTACAGTCATGGTGAAAGAGTAGAAGCAGAAGAAGAAGACAAAGTGACAGGTAAGGGAAGTCTATAGTTCACTTACGGGCTTCAGAGAGATACAGGTTCTCTTTGATGAGATACGAAAAGGTGCCGAATAAGACGAGCCATCCGCCGAGCACACTAATCACCACGTTGAAATTCGTGATTGAAAGGTCCATGATGCCACTCAACGTGCTCCAAGCAAGCAGCCCCGAATGGATGCCTCGCCTTTGGGCCTCGACGCCTTGGGATGAAGAAGGGGTTGAGTGTGCTTCGGCTGCGACATGAAATGGAAATGCCTCACGTTACGGGACGAGGCGGGATGCCGCTGCGATTACCAACTCGAGCTCGATGACGGAAACGCGCCCTGAACCAACTACACATACCAACACTCACAAAAGTAAGAGGGAGAACGTATAGCAAGGGCAGAACAACTTGAATGTATGAAGAATCAAACCTGGGAATACAAAACAAGTAGAAAAAGACATCCACGGCTATCGGATCGGATATCAATACTCGTTCATTACGTTAGATGGGGCAGCCGTTGTTTCCTCCCGCGAGCGCCCGCAAGACAGGACGAAGGAGGCCACCGATGGGAGCCCGCTCATCTATTTCGTTACTAGCCCCGATCTTCTGCTCCCATTTAACCACCTTACCTGTCACCGACTCACCCATCAGGTAGGATGAGGCATTTCAAGGCCATGGAGGCTTAGCCTTTAGCCCATGTCGGTAGCGCCCGCTAAAGCCAAGTCATCCTGACCCCCTTCTTGCAGACATGTGCCCCCCCCCTGCCACTGGCCATCCATGGTCCCCTACATTTTGAAGGGCTCATGCAGGGTTCTATCAACTTGGAGAGCTGCCGCGAAGAGCGCCTGACCGTCTTTTCTGACAATCCCATCTCGAATCTGCTTGAGACGGCCGCGGCTTTTTGAGACTGCGGGGCAGAGTCATGCGCTCCATACGCCGCCGGTATTTTGTTTCCTGGCTCTATCGATGCCTTTTGGACCTTGTTTCCGCTCACTCAAGCGCTGTAAGATAGTGCCGTCATCACCGTTGAAGAACTCCAGCAGCGAACTACCCCGGCCTCTCTCCGCATTCCCCGCTATAGGATTCAATCCGTACCCCAGACGGACAACTTTCGAAGGCCTACTCTGCACTGATCATGAGGGCTCGGCGAGACATAGTATCATGGCTTGAAATTCCGGGGGCTCACTGGCTCGCAACGAAACCGGCAGAACAAGAAGTATCCTCTGCCGAGTACTTACCCATAAGTGAACTCAATAAGCTCATCTGAGAAGCCTTTAACAAATCTCAACGAGGAAATTAGCAATCCATTGCGTGAGAAACAACTTTACCTAGCAACCTCATCGGATGATCTCAGTTATAAGCATCAATCATGGAGGGCCACCCGCCTCTGAACACCAACCAACGCTGCACAATACATCAGACTGCCGCATTCTTAATTCATACAGCTCTCATCGCGCTTCAGTTATGTCTGTGTCCTAATCCGGCCTTTTTGCGTCTTGCCCTCTAGGCGCACCTAGCCGTGTTAGTCGCGATAATGACCTGAAGATAGTGAGATGAGATGTTGGTCATGTCTTTTGCAAGCATGAAGAAGAGCCTACTTGTTATTCAGATTCATTGAATCTCACTTTCACCATGTGATAAAAGTTGGTAGCATCGTCTCGTCAAACCTCACGGATTGAATGAATTTTCTTGAAGCGTCATTGCTTTCAACACCGAGCCTATGTGACAGATGTCGAATATGTCGACTTACTTTGTTATGCAGTTTCAGTCGCCTTGCATTAATTCAACATTGTCTATAATCAGAAATCAAAGTCTCTCTCTCGGAAAAGACCTTCTACATCTTGGCAGAGCAGTGCATGTGCCGCTGAAACCCACATCCTACATCCTTCTTATTCAACTACGAAGCGGACAACAACAAGGACGACTCTTTTCCAGAGGCATGACTAACAATATTGCATACCGACTATCGGAAGATGTTTGATAAGTACGCCGAAGATGAGATGCATCGGCGGCGAAACGTCTCTCACATGCCGCTCCACCACAAATCTTGATGAGACGAGGTCTGACGCCCACTGGCAGCGGCTCGAATGTGACGACAGAGCGCACTGGCAGGATTGCGGGGACTTACAACGGCCCGAAGATCGACAACACGATTAATTTGACACTCGAAAGACGTCGTTGGGAAATGTGAGCTTTGGTATAAGATTTCGGCGGAGACCCTGAAAAGACGCGCTCTTCGCACGAGCCTTTCATCTTTCCTCATTGGATTATTGATTCTTGATAACTCATATCACGGTTCTCATTCCAACTCAAGAGCTATCAGATAACTACCAAAGCCATCAATCATGGGCTCGATAGGAGAATATTCTGTGCCACAAGAGGCGGAGGCTGTGTTCCAACACGGCATTCTGAACAATCCCTTGATGAAGGACCTTCCTGGTGACCTCAAGTCTCTCAGTCAACATGTCAAGTTTGAGGGTTTAAGCAAGCCAAGCGTTCCGATCAACTGGCGATTTGCCGAAAGCATCTCGGCTTTGAAAGCATTGGAGGCAACCATGCTCAACCGGCTGATTCTCAAGAAGTACAACAAGGAGCCGACGAATGTCACCATCAACACGTAAGTCAATTCAACAATAACCTCAGTCCGCCTTGATCCCGTAGAAGGCCCTTGCAGAGGGAACTCACACAGTTTCTAGTGACCATGCAAGCTTGTTCTACTTTTCGCCTCTCATTGCCCAGCTCATCGGTAAGGATGGCAAGTTTACACCCATGGCGCTCATGAACTTTGTGCCCGAGGCCATGAAGATGTTCCCAGAAACGGACAAGCACAGGACCGCCGCCAGCTTGCATCGAGCTCTGGTGACGAACATTCATAAGACAAAGGATGGACGGTATTACCAGCTTCACGGTGAGACACTCCTTCATTGAACGAAATCAACCATAGGTCCTTTGGGCTCTCGCATCTGACGAAGTACTGTAGGCGGCATAAACCCCGACCCCATTCTCAAGGCTCTGGGTTTGCCTGAAGATGGCCCAGCGGATGATACCTACGAATCGGTCTTTGAGAGAACCCAGAAGGTCATCGCCGAGATGGACTCCAAAGACCTGGACGCTTTACTCAACGACGAGGCGCAGCAGTCTGGCACAATCGCTTGGTCGTCTGACGAATACTTCGCGAGCGAGCACGGCAAAGCGAACAGCAACGTTGGACTCTACGAGATCGCAAAAGTCGAAGGCTCCACACAGCCCGCATCTTGGTGGTCCGAAAACTCAAGCCTACCCTCGTCAGCCAAGAGACCCCTCGCCGGCCTCAAGATCGTGGATCTGACCCGAATCATCGCTGCGCCGGTCATTTCGCGCGACCTGGCGGAGATGGGAGCGAGCGTCATGCGCGTCACCTCAGACAAGATCACGGACATGTCGTCTCTGCACCAGGATCTCAACTGGGGCAAGTGGAATTGCCACTTGGATCTCACCAAGGACGAAGACAAGGAGAAGCTGAGGGCGTTGATCAGGGATGCTGATGTCGTTGTTGATGGATACCGCCCCGGCGCCATGGAGAAGCACGGTTTCGGTCGCAAGGAGATTCTGGAGCTGGTGAAGGATCGCCAGCGTGGAATCATCCACGTCCGTGAGAATTGTTACGGATGGCATGGACCCTGGCAGGGGCGTGGTGGATGGCAGCAAATCAGTGACGCCGTGAGTGACACATTGCAAAAAGACCTCTTTTGGAAACTCGACTGACAAGTAGCCAAGTGCTGTGGTGTCTCGTTAGAGTATGGAAAGGCGATGGGTCTAAATGAGGCGGTTACTCCGGTGTTCCCGAACTCAGACTACTGGTATGTTACAGCACAGAAGGACCAAACCACTCGTCTGGAATTGCTAGAAGTATACTAAAATACGAGATAGTGCTGGAGTTTGTGGAAGCACTGCTGTTCTTGATGCTCTCATGAAGCGCGCCGAGGAAGGAGGAAGTTATGGCGTCGATGTAAGTCTCGATCTACCGATGAAAACAACTCCAACTTTACGGTGCTTTCCAGCTAACCTGATGTCCCCCAACAGGTCGCCCTCAACTACTATTCTCAATGGCTCGTCCGCTCATGCGGGACATATCCTGAAGCTATCTGGAGAGAAGTCTGGGAGCGTCATGGCTCACCCGTTTTCCGGCACTTCCACACAATGGCCCACAATGTCCCAGTCATGTCCAAGCTGCTTCAGGAGTACGACGCGCAGGTTCTCTTCAACCCTCAGTTCTTTGAGATGCGAGCGTCAAAAGCGGTTGATGGAACTTTCTGGGTTGTCAAGCCTGTTCTGCAATATGGCAATAACGCGGTGGAAATGAGGTACAATGTAGGCACGAGAGGTAATGGTGTTGACCAGCCTGTCTGGCCCGAGGATTTGTCTACGGAGGTGGTTGGAAAGTAAGTTTCTGATAGGACTGAGCTATGCATTAAGTGTTATGAATACAGCAACTACAAAACCAATAGAACCAACGTTTCTTGCTACAGGTATCAAGTTACCGGAGGCACCTTGGAACATATGAAATGACATTCTAAGTATCTTTATAACCCCAATCGTTGGCTCTCAGTCTAATCCCTCTCGTAATCTAGCTTGGTACACCGCTTCAGCGAGCTCTGCGGGCGTCACTCCAGCCGGATCTCGTAATTGTGTAAATGAGTCCCCATCCTTCGGCCCAAGAACTCCGGCATCCTTCACAAAGCCACGGTTTGAATCAAAGAAGAAGATGGTCGCATGTAAAGCATCTGGTGCAACTTCTGAGACGTGGAACTCTGCCGCCGGAACTGTGTACGTTGACCCCCTAGCATGAGCCTCGGTATGAATCTTTACAGCTCGGAAGAGCTTCCCCGTATTTTGTACAGTAGAGGATGCCTGATGCGTCTTGTACGCCGTATTGGCTCCCTTCCCGTCGTTCCACGCGAGAGCATATCCTGCGTGCGTAGCTTCGGCTGGATCTTCGACAGGATCAACTTCATAGGAGTGATCCACGCCCTGCCCTGCCAAGATCCAGCTCTGCGCAAACGGCTGGTGAGAGTGTAGGTGAAAGTCAGGGTTCCCGCGTTTGCCGTCCGGCATCCAGACGTGCAGGCGAATGAGCTCGTCGATGCTGCCGTCTTTGACCAAGCTGCACAGCGGGACCGAGAGGAAGCCTTGTGCGCTGCGGGAAGCGGTGAATTGTGTTTGAGAAGAAGTTGTGGATGTGAGGGCGTCGCGGATGATGGTCCAGCATTGGCTGATGTCGTCTGCTGTTGCGGGCTGGTTTTGGCGGGCTGTTTCGCGGAGGAATGACACTGCTACTGCGACGAGTGCAATATGAATGGTGGTCTCGGTCATTTTTGTGACATTTTGCTGGATGATGACTTGCCAGTCCTGAAAAGATAGACTGGCCGATTTGGTCTTGGTCTCACTGCCTTCGTTGCCTGGAGACAGCAGCTGTTTGATTTTGTCAATTTCATCAGAAGCAGCCTTAGTAGCTTGTGCAACCCCTGTTAACGATCTGAAGAATGCCTCATATGAAATATCCATTTTGTCTCGTTGATGAATGGCCCTGCTGATGCAACTCTTGGTTCCAATTATTATCTGAAGGATGCTAAACGAGGGAAATACAGCGATGCGCGATTGAAGCATTTCTTATCGGTTCGAAACATTAAGCTCTATATAGGAGTCGAGTTGATAGATGAAGTACGGCTATTCGCAAGGCACATCGCATGCTGAATATTGATCCTCTTGACGAATCACAAGCGCCGCGGTGGTGACACACCGTCAGCACAGCCCCGACGCATCCAGGCAACACCGGGCTGCAAAGTGGAAAATGTGGAATAATGTGCGAAAAGAAAAGTCATGTTCATATTATATGGATATCTCTAATACTACAACTCGAAAAACCTTCAGTGCCTCGCACCCTCGCCGTTGACAACCTTGTCAACGTTACGATGAGTGCCTCTGATGGGCGCACCATTGTTCTCCGTCAGACTCTGGCATGTCGTGACATCAATACCATTGGCGTACTTGTTCTTCTTCTCCCTTGCAAAGCCGTTGTGTGTACCGTTGAAAGTCAGGTTGGCAATGCCATCATACCCCTTGATGCCGGTGCTCTTCTCCAAGCGCTCAGCAATTTCGGGGTCGACCTCCCTGAAGATGGCAATCTGCTTCTTCAAAGGCTCCGGGTTCTTACACAACTCCATCTTGCCCGTGACATTGTTGATGAATCGCTCGCGCGCATCCTCGTCCCAAACCTTCTGCCACAGGGCGCGCGGCGCAACAAAGTCCTCTGGTCTGATCTCGGAGAGGAAGGTGATGGCCTGGCCGGTGAAGTGACCGTGCGTCTTGTCCAGGTCGACAGTACGGGCCTTGAACTGAACGGGATCAATGGAGCTGAGGTAATTGGGGCGCGCACCCTGGTTAAAGAATGCCATGGCACCATCGCGCTGGAAGTTGGCCATCTTGTGGGCGGTCTTTGGTGCGTTGACGGGGAGTTGCTGGTAGTTGACGCCGATGCGGTGACGGTGGGTGTCGGGGTAGGAGAACAGACGGGACTGAAGGACCGGGTCGGCGGAGGGCTCGATGCCGGGGGGCATATGCGAGGGGTTGAAAGCAACCTGCTCGACTTCGGCGAAGTAGTTTTGAGGGTTCTCGTTCAAGGTGAACTCGCCCACCTTGCGGAGGGGGTACTTGCCCTGGGGCCAGACGTGCGTGAGATCAAAGACGTTGATCTTGTCGTTCTCCCATGCATCCTCTGCCTCCTTGGGTGTCATGGTCTGAATCTCGACTGACCACTTGGGGTAGTCGCCGTTCTGGATAGCCTCGAAGAGGTCCTTGCCGGAGTAGTCGGCTGACTTGGTGAGAGAGTCCTCTTGTGTGATGAATTTGGTACCCTGCTGGGACTTCATGTGAATCTGGGCGTAGACCCATGATCCGTCCTTGTTGACGAGCTTCATCGTGTGACCGGCGTAGCCGTGCATGAAACGGTAGCCATCAGGAATGCCACGGTCACCCATCAAGATCATGACTTGGTGGATTGACTCGGGGTTCTCGCTCAAATAGTTCCAGAACTATGGGAAAATGTGAGCAGGGGTCACATGTGTACGATCATAAGGCTTAAACATACCATGAAAGAGTCATCCATGTGGTTGAGATGCGTCTGAGGATCACGCTTCTGTGTGTGAATGAACATGGGGAACTTCGCAGGATCTCTCAAGAAGAACACAGGCGTATTGTTCGCCACCATGTCCCAATTGCCATCCTCTGTCCTGAACTTGACGGAGAATCCTCTAGGATCGCGAGCAAGATCCGGCGAGCCAGACTCGCCGCCGACAGTCGAGAAGCGCACGGTGATGGGGCACTTCTTGCCCTTGGTACCAAAGATATCGGCCTGCGTAAGCTCGGGGATCGGATCCGTACACTCGAAAAAGCCATGAGCACCGCTGCCCTTGGCGTGCACGACACGCTCCGGGATGCGCTCGCGGTCGAAGTGAGAAAGGAGGTCGATCAAGTGGAAATCCTGGAGCAACAACGGACCATTCTCGCCGCATCGCTGCGTCTCGTAGGGATGAGGCATCGGGACACCATTGCTGGTGCTGTAGATAGCCTCCTTGGAGGTCATCTGTCTGTCCTTCTCATATGTGCTGAACTGGCCTGCCACATGGGCTGCGAATGATGTGTCGGTGGAACCCATATTGAACGTCTTTTGAGCAGTTTCAATGGGATGTCTGATGATTCTTTGAACAGTCTCCATGAGATTCAGAAGGTGTTGAGAGAGGTCTTATACCAGAGAGAGACATGGTGAGCTGTGCCGCCACCCACCGGTGCTTGGGCACTTTATGTGGAGGCGCTCGAACGGGCATACACACAGAAAAAGTGCCATCAAAACTCAATGCCATGACGCAGTTCTGGAGGAACAATACCGTCACTCATGTTGGGCGAATCACAACCTGCAGATTACTACGTCGAAAGCATTCTGAAGACGGGGAGGAGTGTTTGTCACCTCCATGTCTGGTCGTAGCGGCATGGGGAACTACGGAACTAGGCCATACCCGCATTAGCACCCGCTCTCCAAGGAGCGGGTCGCAGGAATCGATGACGCTTGGTACGGAGCCTCCTTGGCCTCTCGACTTTTCCATTTTTCGTCGTTTCGCCTTTTTTGACTCTGAGCTACGGTCCTAGTTCGGGGATAACTCCGCGGTAACGAAGACCAGGCAGTCGATGGATGTCACGGCGAATGCTCCGATATCCTGGCACTGAAGCCAGTTGGTTACTTGGAGGCTTCAAATGGGCATAGGAGTAATTCGAAGGAGCCACGGAATGCAGATCAAAAGACAAGATGTGACGAAGACCAGAGCTGCGGGGGCCAAAGGGCGCGGTAGACTAAGACGATTTAGACCATCAAGCAAACACCGGCACTTGTTTTGAAGCAATCCAAGATGCAGCCGCTACCAAGACTCCGGAGATCTAGCTCCGGAAGAGACCAGACGCCACTGCCAGATTCCCATCTTTCATTAATGGAAATCATCCAAATTCGATATCTGGTGGTTAGCTCACAGGCGCCAGGTAGCAGTGTGCAAGGCGAATCCCAGATTCGGGGCCAAAGCACCGATCCGCATGAACGCAATCGATGATGTATGCGAACAGCCCGCTGATGTCATGAAGCAGAAGGCCGAGCCAAGACCGATGACAGGCGCTCCACCCCCGCCGTGACCTTGGCTGGTGAACGCAGATCTAGGACACTTTGGAAGGCTTTGGTGATTAAGCAAAAGGTCTAGAACGTGGTAAAGTCGGCGATGCGGCACGCGATGAATCTGAAGGTACCTTTTGAAGCAAAACCGTTGAATAATCACTTTAAATCCTTTTGTCCGTTTTATGTACACCAATCCCAGCGATATTTGAGTTTGAAATCCGCAATACCCACACGATGAGAATCACCGACGATGGACTTCTACGGCGCACCCTTTGAAGTGCACCTATGATTCTAAATGCTAGATGCCGCCGCATATGAGTTCAAATGAAAAATGCCTTTACGGGAGGAAACCATTTATTCCAACTTTTCATCGGCCTTGGCGCGGAGTCGTAGATGAATCGAGCGAATGAGCTTAATCTCACTCATCCTTCATGACGACCGATGAGTGACTTCTGCCAATTTTCGGCACTCAATCATGTCTCAATTTGATTGACCATTTTCTTCGTTCGCCTCATCCTCGACCCGCGTACTGTTGACCGGGGGATAATGAGCCAGTAGAAGAATGCCCACGGCGACAACGGCGAGAGCCTATAAAGCGATTAGAGAACAAGCACCAGAGATGTAGAGACTTATGCGTGAGCACTCACGGCGTTCACAAAGAAGGTGAGATTCGGCTTGCCCATCTCAGACAGCGTGGCAAATATAAAGCCAAAGATACCTTGCGTCGTGAGAGTCGCTGCACTCTCAACTAGGGTGATGGCACTGAGGGCATCTTGTCGCATATGCGGCGGGCACATTTCTGTGATGACGCCCTTGGCCGCAGGAGCCGATCCGGATGCAAATGGCAGCAGGAAAGCGGCTACGAATGAAGGCAATCAGCATCTTGCTCTAGTTTCTGGAGTTCGGCGCAAAGTGAGCAGCAAAAATGAGAGACTCACCGGCATAGACATGCCAGCCCTCCGTTGCCCAAGCCGCGAGGGACGTGACGATGCCATCCACCACCAAGCTCCACCTCAGGAAGAACAGGTCAAAGGTGCTATCCTCATCCTCCTCTTCAGGCGGCGCCTTTGTTGGCTCGGAAGCGTTCATCAGGCCGGGTGCCGGGTCCATGTCTTCGGGGTGAGTCGGGATGACGCTCCGCTCCTCCTGGGTGAGCGTCTTTTGAAGAGCTCCGGCATGGGACGACGAGGCAAACCATCTGCGTCCGCTGTCGATGATTTCCGGAAAGATGAACATCAAGAAGATGCCGCGGATCCACGAGTTACCGGACATGAGGATACCGTTCTCCGTTGTGCCAAAGTTGAAGCGGGAGGTGGCGTACATCTGGATGAGGATGGGCGCATAACCCGTAGCGAACTAGGGGACCGTTAGCGATGTTGTACAAGGACTGAAGCCGCAAATACACGCAAGGCATTTGTAAAAAGTAGACTTACCACGCCGAAGAAGATGCCCAGGGCCAGAAAGACGAGGCCGTAGTTCTTGACAATCTTGCCGGACTCGAGACGGTACTTGGACGGCATGAGCACCTTGATAGGAGCCAGGAAGCCAGAAGCGCCCGGCGTTGTCTTGCCGTCCGTCTCTTCCGTCTCTTCTGGGGGTGCCGGCCAGAAGATGGCCCCGTAGGTTGTTGCAAAGGCAAAGCAGCCGATGGCGACGATGAAGGGACTGGTGATGCCGAACACATCACCCAAGACACCGCCGACTAATTACTCATTAGCAGGCGAGGATAGGAAAGGCAGAGTGTCAACCTACGCAAGTAGCCTATGGCGGTACCGATCATGACTGCACCCTGAAGCCGGCCAAAGACGCCGGTATGCTTTCTTCTTTCGACAACCTCCGCAATTGCCGTGTTCAAAACCAGCCTTTGGTTACACTTGCATTAGCGCCGCGATCCCAGCGCATCTCACTTTACTTTCTGTAGGTAGGTAGGTGAAGTACTTACATGTATCCTCTCGGCCCACCAAAGATGCCAATAAGCTGCGTGTACTGCATCATGTCGATTCCCTTTTGCGCGCCCTGCGACACGGCGAGGACCTGGCACGAGACGCGGATTCCGAGCAGGCCGGTCTGGCTGATAAGGGCCCAGCGGGTACCCCAGCGCTTGATGAGGTCGCCGCAGATGAAGAGGTTAAGGATGCCGCACACGGAGGTGGTCATGCCGAGGATGGAGACCTGGGTGGCCGTGTTTGCGTCAATCTCACGGCGGTGGCACATTTCCGAGGCGGGGCCGTCGTAGGGCGCGTGAGACTTGTAAAAGGTCTCGCATGCCATTACACGGAAGACGTAGATGATGCTGTAGACTACATGTCAGTTTCCGTTACTGTGGTACACATCCTCGTGGCCATGCCATAGGACAACATGGGTGAGTAGAGAGGGGTGGACTTGTGCGCACGGAACTTGAGTGAGGCCTAGTGTCAGGGAGACGAGGAAGCCGGCGAAGAGGATACGGTTTGCGGGTGACCAGAGGCCGCGACCGACCCGCTTCACGGCCCCGGCGCCGGATTTGATTTTGAGGAGGGGCGTCCGTTCATCTGCATCGGCGGCCATCGGGACGGATGCTTGGGTGTGTGGATGGGATAAGGTACGATCACAGAGAGGGGGGAAGAGAGCTCTTAGGTTTCGCAGAATCACGCCTTTCGTCCAATGAAGTGCTTGTTTATGAGGCTCAACTCTAAAGATCTGGTAGAACTAGGAAGGTCGGTTGAACGTTTCGCAGGGTGGGAAGGGGGGAGGATAGGACAGGATGGGAGAGGAGAGGGGTTCGAAAGGGAAACAAATGGTGACAAAGCCGAACTGGGCTGGATGGGGGGCATAAAGCGATTAAAGGTCACTGGTGACTGGGGGGGTATAAGGTGTGGTAAGAAAAAAATCGAGTGAGAATTGTATGGGTTTTCCTGCGAGTTCCCCGGATTGCTAGGATGTTTGTTGCTGCTGGACCGTTGTACCGAAAAGACGTGCGGAATCCCCGCTATTTCGTCAGGAAAACGATGGGCCTTCCACCTTGGGGTTCTTCTCGAGAGGAACTTTGGTGGAGCACCACAGAGTCCTGACCGGTCACCGGTGTTGGTTGACGGACTGAGTGGTGCCGGGAGTGTGAGTGAGGGAGGAAGTGTGGGTGTGGCGGAAGAGGATAGCACTCGGTAAAGCCAACAGATAGCCGCAAGAATGACTCTGCCAGACTGCTTAGAGCATGCAAAGACTTTTCGTTTCTGTTGGCTGCGCCCAGTATGCGTGGTATCCTGGTGTGTGAGAACTGCAAAAGAGCCGATGAGATGGAGGGGGGGAGGGGCGGCCGCCGATGCAGGAGCCGAGCGCGGCCTTTGTGTTGCCGACCCGGAGTGGAGATGGTGGGGTTCCGGATAGCTTCACGGGTGCTGATAGGTCCGAGATAAACTCACCGGAGTCTAGACCCGTTGGACCGGCGCAGGACCGGAGCTTGTCCGGGAATGCGCTGCTTATCGTCGGCCCTGAGCTGCCGAGGGGGCCGGCCGACTCCGGCCTTACATCTACAGTCTCATTACCTGAGTAGTATACATCATGAGTATCTTGGGTCTTTTGCGTGCATATGAAATTGCTTTTGTTCAAATCAGCGAAGGGCTCAGAGTAGACAGCCATATGTTGTACAAGATAATCCTCGGGAAATGATACTCCATGCCCATGCTCATGCTCATCCCCTGACTCTCTCATATCTTAAAGCAAAGGATGCTCTAGTACAAGCTTACCAAACTTGCCCTGGTCAGCAATCTTCCTCACCTCTTCCAGCGCATCCTCCGCAGTCCCCTTGAACACATCCACGACAGGAATCGAGAACTTGGTGCCGTAATTCTCAACAGACCACATCAACGCCTTCCACATTCTGCCCCAATCCTCCAGCCGTGGAGGGATCGTGACAAGGGGACCACCGCCCAGCTGTAGTGTAATTTCCGTATTCGCCGATGCCAGCGGCATCTTGATTCTTCCACCCGGCTTCGCCACGACGGACAGAACAACAGCATTGTCATCAACACAAGCCTCCGTCTGTGCTGCCGAGGTGACCTCACCCTTAGAACCCGCACAATCGGCCGCGTAGCGGATTGGCCCCGCGCCAGCCTCCTCCGCCGCCTTCTTGATCTGAGAAATCACGTCTGGGGCGTTATAGTCGAAGCAGCGCGTCGCTCCCATCTTCGTGAGCATCTCATGCCGCCCAGGCGACGCGGTCACGAAAATGGGGCTCGCACCACTCTCCCGCGCTAACTGCAGCATGCAAATTCCAACGCTGGCGGATGCGCCCCAAATAAGCAGCGGACCAGCCTTGAAACCTTCCTTCGCCTTCTCCCCGGGAAGAGGGTATCCAAAGATGTTGTACAGCCCGTCGGCGGCTGTGGTCAGCACTACCGTGAGACTTGCGGCGTGCGTCTGAGGCAGGTTATCTGGGACCTTGAAGAGCATGTCTTCCGGACAGCTCAGGTACTCCTGATGCGCGCCGTGCCTCATCGGTTTGCCCACGCCGGTGGGCACGTAACCGGCCACCAGATCGTCGGGCTTAAAGGCGGACGATGCATTCTCGCCGGTGGCCCGTACGACGCGGCCGCAGAAGTCGTAGCCGAGGGTGACTGAGCGGACGCCGATGTGTGGTGCGTGTTTGACGTCGGCGGGGTTGACGCCAGAGTAGAGCACCTTGACCAGGACCTCGCCATCTACGGGGTCGGGGATGGGGAGGTTGCGGATGACTGAGAAGTTGCAGTCTTCGTCGACATAGAGCGCCGGCGCTGTTGATGTTGTTTTGCTGCTCATTGTGAGGTTTCGTGCTTTACTGTCCTAGGAGGGTTGACTTTGGCTGCCCGCCATAATTATCACACAGCAGACCAGACGCATCTTATGCAGTAACTTGTGGCCATGGACAGAACACTTCAAAACGTGCAATTGACATATTTAGTTGCCCCCTTGCGCTAGCGTCCACTTCTCCGGGTCGCGACCCTCTCGTAAAATCGGGCGTCCGGTGGGAGGTGGGCGGCTGAATAAAGATGAACGGAGCTCTCCAGAGGAATCACGGACGAATACGGCCGTCTCGGACAAGTTGCCCGATTTATTCATCGGCCAACGGAGGGTTCATAACACCCGAGGTCGCCGGGACCCATCCCTAGACTCTACCGGGCGGGGGTGGTAGCGTACAGTTGACGTGCCTCGGGTGATCAGCAGGGCCAAATGGCGGGGAAGAACTCAAACATATGCGACATGGATATGTCCAGGCCCTTTCCGACGTCTCGCATGGCACAGGCAGACTGTAGGGCTACACATGAACAGGTCCCAGGTTGAGTCCAATAAGTACGAGGCCCTCGGACCTCCCCCAGGCGAATATTGCCCCAAGAAGGCGAAAATGGCAACGCCATTGGCTGGTACACAAGTGGGAATCTGCCGTGGAGCCATGCCGGTGAAGGGGGCCATGTTTCTCGGCGTACTCGACGATCCGTCATCAGGAATTGGGTCAAATCCGAGGAATTACAGAGTCCCTTGAGATGTGAAGACAAGCCGGGAGCTCGGATTTACGATGGCCCCGTACAATAACGATATAACAAACAGGCGATGCTGCCGCCATCAAAGAGGCTAACAGTCTTGTTCTAGACAAACATCGTACCTGCATCAACGGGTAGTTATCCCTGCGAGTTTGTTAGATTAAGCAACAATGGCGCCACTTATCGTCAACAACATCGAAGTCATCCAGACCCCCACTATCCCTCCAGCATGGCCAACTCCCAAAGAGCCTTCCCGCGTGGAGCTCTCAGCCGGAAGTCAAAAGACCCCAGATCATCGTCCGCTCCCGTGCGACATCATCCTTGAGCGGGACCAGCCGTTGACGCTGCGTGACGGGACCCGCATCCGCGTTGACATCTTTCGGCCGAAGACGGATGAGAAGGTCCCCGCCATTCTGATGTGGTCGCCCTACGGAAAGACTGACACGGGTACGGCCCAATATGATGCCGATTGTGCTGTTGCGTACCAAATATTAATAGTATTTTCTAGGCACCCTAAATCTCCACGCAGTTCCTTTACGATGTGGCGTTCCCCTGAGCAAGCTGTCGGGTTACGAGTCGTTTGAGGGGTGGGATCTCCCTTACACGCGCCCTTACAACCAGACGTGAAAGACTGACTTACCTCCAAGACTCGACCCCGCTGAATGGGTGCCGAAAGGCTATGCCATCATCAACGCAGACGCCAGAGGATGCGGTGACTCTGAAGGCGACATGAGGTCGTGGGGTACCCCAGAGGGCCAAGACGGCCACGACGCCATTGAGGGTATCGCAAAGCTGCCCTGGTGCACAGGCAAGGTCGCCATGGCTGGCAACTCGTGGCTTGCGCTGTGTCAGTGGTACATAGCCGCCGAGAGGCCGCCTCATCTGGCGTGTATCGCCCCTCTGGAGGGTGCGAGCGATTATATCCGCGAGAGTCTGTGCCGCGGCGGAATTCCTTCCATTGGGTTCGGGTCCATGATACAAAACGTGATTCGTGGTAGGAGGCACACCGCCCTATTCCAGTGTATAGGCTTTTTCCCAATTCGATTCGACTGACTGTGCTTTAGGTCGTGGCCAGCAGGAAAACGGCGTTGAGATGCTGCTCAAGCATGGGCAGGGTCTCCGAGCGTACTGGGATGACAAGAGGGCCCGCATGGACAGGATCGAGGTCCCGGCCTACATCCTGGGCAGTTATTCGACGATGATACATACCATTGGGAGCTTCAGAGGCTTCGAGGAGATCCCTCATCAAAACAAATGGTTCGTCCGATACATGTACCCTGACCCAGTTTACAGTTAGCTGACTTCTTCTTAGGATGGTGACCCATGCTACGCAAGAGTGGTACGACCTGTACAGCCAAGAACGTACCAATGACTTGCAAAAGTTCTTTGACCGCTACATGAAAGGCATCGACAACGAATGGGAGAAAACTTCGCCAGTCAGGTTGGCCGTGCTAGGCTACAACAAGCCCGCGACCATCGGTCTCCCTTTTGGCTCACTTCCTTGGCTCTCACCGAGTGCCACGAACACGAAACTCCAGCGTCTTTATTTGGGCGCCGACAAGACGTTGCAGCAATCCAACAACACTGATACCACGACGTTGGGCTACGAGGGTACGGAAACCATAGTCTTCACGCACACCTTTTCCAAGTCCACGCAGCTGCTGGGCCCAACCAAGCTCGTAGTCCACGTATCCTGCCCCTCCGCCACAGACTTTGACGTCTACGCCCAGATTCGCAAGCGAGATGCAAGCGGCAAAGACCTCGAGCACCTCAACATTCCTCTTGAGGCACTCCCGATATCTGATCCAAAGGAAATCCCCAACATCAACCCGCTCAAGTACCTAGGGCCCAACGGCAAGCTCCGCGCCTCCAAGCGCAAGGTCGCGCCGGAGCTGTCGCCCAACTACTGGCAGACGCTGGCTCATGATGAAGACATTGACGTCAAGGCGGGTGAGATTGTCAAGATGGAGGTATGGATCTGGCCCACGGCCATTCATTTTGATGCCGGGGAGCAGTTAGCGCTCAAGATCACCGGCTCTGATAGCCTGGTATTGCCAGAGTTTGAGTTCCTCGCCGAGAAGCCAGAGGATGCTGCTGCTCAGATTATGCATTTTGGTGGAGAGTACGAGAATTACTTGGAGGGGCATTGGCATGATTAAAGTGCTGCGAAATCATGAAGCCCGGTTGGCCTTAGTTGTTCGTACGAGGCAGTCATCAAAGCCATAGTCGTTTGATCAAGCATGTTAAGTTTATACCATTACAAATCCCTACTCCAGCGCCTGAAGGAACTTGGCAAAGTCCAACGTCCCAAGACCAGTCGCCGGATCCCATCCAGCAGTCGCAGACCACCCGCTCTCAACCTTCGTCCCATAAGAGCAACTTCCGCTAGATCCGCTCGTGACATCGTTGATCGCAGAACGAACCTTGTCAGAGTATAGCAGCGGGTTAAGGAATCCCAAAGCAGGCTTTCCCTCCCTCATCCGCTTATCGTTGGCGAGAGCAATCATCGCAGCGACGACGGGCGTGCTGGCGCTCGTCCCCTTCTGCGTCCACCCAGGCTGCATCAGGAATCGAGATCCAATGGCCGAAATGTCCGGGCTGCCGCGGCCGTTGGGTGCGTACCAGCCTGCGTGAGATCCGTTGATGCCGGCAATGTACGCCTTGGCCGCGGATTCCTGCCACGCCGGACGCTCAAAGTACTCGCTGAACCCGCCGGAGCTGTACCACGCAGGCTCCGTCGGCGCGTAGTTGCCCGTCGCGCCGACACCCGTGACCCAGGGGCAGTCGACGGGGAACGTCGGGATGAACTTTGTCGTGTTCTTCCCGTCGTTGGAGATGCAGTCTCCCGAACCGATGCCCGCTGCGCCACCGTCGCCGGTAGCTACCAGAACAGACACGCCGCGGGCGGCGACTTGCATGAAGAGGTCGCAGACGCGACGGGCGTACGGCTGCGGGATAAGCTGCTCATCGTCGGTGTATGAGATGGAGATGACGTCTGGGATGGTCTCGCGCGCGAGCAGGGCCTCGAGGAACTCGATCCAGGGCTCGTGAGCGCTGTCCTTGGGATCCTTTTCTTTGCCGTCGGGCCCGATCTCGGGGCCGCGGCCGCCGGTGGAGAAGTAGGTTGCGTTCATCGGCTGGATGAAGGGCATGCTGTACTGGATGTCTAGCAAAGCCTCGACGCCGTTGCCTTCGGTGGTGTCGCTGCCGCCGTTGATGGACTCCACGGTGAGGTTGTACTTTGGCGAGAAGGCGGTGGCGTTTCGGCGGGGGCTGTAGGATGCCAGGAACGCTTGGAGAGTGGGAACATTGGGATATTGCTCTAGGAAGCCGGCGATGCCAAAGTCCGTGGGCGATGGGCCGTTTGGCGGGCTGTAGTTGATGTTGTAGAGATCCACGATGCAGTCAGGGGTGGTGTAGTCCCAGCAGCTTCGAGGCACTGTGATGTGTCAGTGATGTGTTGTCCAAGAAACCTGATCATGAACATTCGCCGTGAACTCACTCGTGCTCTGTCGTTTCACTTTGCCAGATTCCCTCGCATCAATCTGTCGTCTAGGCGGCTTGCTCATAAACTGGGTAACCGGGAAGACAAAGTCGACAACCTCTGAGACCTGGCTCGGAAGAGCGTACTCCTTGGCCCGCAATACAGCCTTCTCGCTCTTGTACTGATACTTTGAGAACCTGCAACCCAACAAGCGATTCGCTCTACCGACGGTGGTGTTTATGCGAACCCAAGGGCCGTCCTGAACAAAGCTCCGAATATCGTGAGCAGAAAGCCAGGTCGCAACGACAGCGTAGGCATCGGCCTTCGGCTCCTGGAACATCTTCAACAGATCGCGAGATACGTGTGCGCCATACTCGGCATGTTTCGGGTCGCTGGTCACCTCGAGACGGGCCTTGAGCTCCGACAAGCCGGGCTGCTTCAACGCGACGGAAAGCTGGATCGTATTGAGGTCACCGGCCGCAGCGACATGCCGCCAGCCCTGCGGGAGCTGCTTCACGACCTCGTGAACTGCGTGGCCGCTACCAGTCGATTGACTGAGAGCGAAGCTGCTTAGAAGCAGAGTTGAAACTGACGATAGCCTCATATTCTCTGTCTTGTGGGCTTACAAGCGTATGGGAGCGTGGCGAGTCTCACTCTCTGCTACGGTCCGCTTGGACTTGCAGCGTCACTTCATCTAATATCAACGGCCAGCCTTCAGGGGCCGGGACAAGCTTTTCGGCAACTCGCCCGTATCACTTGACCCGCTGCTTGGCGATGAAGAACATCTTGGGTAGGAT